TCCAACATTCCAGTTGGATTGGAAATAACAATGAGTATGTCCTATCTCTCTCTCTCTCTCTCTCTCTCTCTCTTTGGGAGCCTAAAAGAGGAAATGAAGAGAGGAGAAATTTTATATCTTGACGGAAAAATCTGGATGGCTAAAGCAAAACAGAATTACTAGGATCTGCAGGAAATGAACTAGGAAAATTTAGCTCTCTGTATGAAAATTCTGCCACTGGGTTCACACAATACAATGAGGGCTAATCCAGTCAACCATTTTTTTTTTTAAATTTGATTTATATGCCGCCCTTCTCCGGAGACTCAGGGCGGCTTACAATGCGTTAAGCAATAGCCTTCATACTTTTGTATATTTTATACAAAGTCAGCTTATTGCCCCCACAACTGGGTCCTCAATTTACCTACCTTAGAAAGGATGGAAGGCTGAGTCAACCTTGAGCCTGGCGAGATTCGAACCTGCAGTAATTGCATATTTTAGTCTAACGTACTGTGTGAACCAGTTGTGAAATTCAAATTTTTTTACTACTGGTTCTTTGGGCGTAGCTTGGTGGGCGTGGCAAGAGAAGGATACTGCAAACTCTCGATTCCCACCCCACTCCCACCCTACTCCAGCAGAAGGATACTGCAAAATCCCCATTCTCTCCCCACTCCTGGGGGGAAGGATATTGCAAAATCCTTCCCCCCAGAGGTGGCATTTGCCGGTTCTCCAAACTACTCAAAATTTCTGCTGTCAGAACCTGCTGGATTTCATCCCTGATGTGAACCCAGAAAATGAGGTTGAAGAAAGATTGGCTCAGTTAAACACAGAGAAAACACACATCTATATTACACTGTGTGGTAACCTGTTAGAACAGCATATTGTAACCGGTTAGAACTGCAAGAGAACAATGGATTTGCAGGCTGGGTCTCATCTGCCCACCCAGGGTGGCCACTGCCTCCCCCACACAAAATGAGAGGAACTATTTAAAAAGCTTCCTATATGGATTGAGGCCCTAAATAAACAACAAGGGTTCCAGACTATGGAAAGTACCGGTACTTCTGTTGTGGCTTCCTTAATGACGGTGTGGCTTACCTTTCAAAAATATTCATTTACATGTAAATTAATAATTGTCAATCTCATTAGGTAGTCCAGACAAGGTACACACAGACCCAGATGTACAACTGTAGCATCAACTTTACTGTAAAGTTACAATAACAGAATCTTTTAAATCTGAAAGTGCATCTCTGTCCCCACTCACCTTTACAGTCTAACATCCTAGGGACAGTCCCTTCTGAGATATTTGCCGTGTACCTGTTCCTTTTGTGGACTAAGTGGCCACTAGTCTGATTGTTGTCTAGTTTGTGGTTCTTTCTCTTCCCTGTCTCCCTATCTCTCAAGATATAATTCCCATATACCATTACAACAGACAACTGAACATATGAGTTCCAAACACCTGTTTTTTTGTTTTTCCTAAACCCAAGATGTTTCTGAACAAACATTTTATTTCCAATAGAAGAGAATATATATAGTTCAGAATTGAACTTGGAGTCCTTGATGCTCTCTGAGTTTAGCTGTTTGTTTGCAGACATTTCATTACCAAACTAGATAACATAATCAGTGCTAGCGGTGTGAGGCTTGCTCCATTTATATACAGTAGCTTGCCCTATAGTGTTGGTGGGGGTGGGGTTTTCTCCTTGATAGCTTCTGGATTAGGGTACAGTATTTTCTGTTTGCTTGTTTGCTTGAGGCTTGTCTGATGTATGATAGTGTTATCCTTTTCATAGCTTGTGTTGCTTATGTTGTAGTGCAGGTATGGCAAACTGGCAACCTGCAGGCCGGATACGTCAAGCACAGGCCACACCCACCCTGGCTCCACAAAGGCAAAAAACATCACGATTACATCACGATCTGGCCTGTGATGCGATCGAGTTTGACACCTGTGATGTAGTGGGTTAAGTAATCAGACACTTTTTGATAAAGTTGTATGGGTATCCATTTTATTGGAAGATGTTATATAAGTGATTAGTTTCCTTTTTCTGGTGTTGTGGGTTGCTGCAGTGCATTTGTACTTGTCTTTTGTAGACAATAGTCCTTTTATAAGACCTTTACATAGACAGATTGTTTGCCCAATTTGCTAAATCATGGTTAACTCACCCATGGTTCATTGAGTTAACAATTCCAAACCCTGTGAACCATAAACTACCCACTCTAGCTGTATTTGCAAAACAGAGGGTGGCACTAAGTAGCCAAAAATGTTTTGTGAACTTAGTCAGTGTCCCAGGTTTTATCTAGCATTGCCACAGATAATAGTGTCAACTTTTGATAGTAATCCATATTTTACCTTATTTCCATACCCCCTTATCTTAATGAAGTTAACTGGGGGGGGGGAAAGACCCAGAAAAAAAAATCCAAATTTTTGAAGTGTGAGAATATTTGATTGCCATAGGTTTGGGGAAGATCATTTTAGTGTCATTTTGTGAGATATATCACACCTCCCATTTCTTTATTTCCTCCCACAAATATTCAGATTATGAACATGCATTTGGGTATATACCTTTAAATATCTGAGGATGGAGAGAAATGGTGGAATTCCAGAATTATAAAATGTTGGTTTGAAACAGGTGTTGTGTCCCACTTATGCCTCTCTTTTTACCTTTCAGACCAAAACCAAAACATTTCAACCAATATATGTTCAGAAAGGGAAGAACTATTTACAAACTGTCATTTTTAATAAATGGTTTCTGTATACCAATATGGCATTAATTCCAAGATGAGGAAGTAGATATGATAAGTGGCAATTTAAGCTTTCTGAATAATGTCATTGCTCTCCTATCCTCAAGACAGTGACTGAAAAGAACTGGTTCCTTTAGTGTAACACAGAAATGCCAATATTTAACTGTAAAGATTCAGCAAGGAATATTACCTTCTAAAATTGTTTTGTGAAAAAAAAATTGTTCTGATCTAGAAGTGCTCTTCTTATGCTGTGCAGAATATATTGTATAAACAGTGAGGATTAGTTTTCCAAATGTAAAATAGTGTTTTATAGATGCCAATTTTGCCATCTAGTGTCTATTATGCAAAATGCTACAATAAGATATTAAAATATACAGAGAATTTTAAATTACTTTTCTAAAAATACTTTAAAAATATAATAGTTATAGGCAACACTTCTGATATTTATATAGGAAATTTATTTCATTTCCACCACCTAATCCTCCTTTAACATGTATCAGCTCTTCTTGCAGTGATACTTCTTCCACATCTCCACATGACCAGCAAAGAGGAGGAAGAGATCTGGTTCCTTCAGAAGAGGGTTGTTCTCTCCTTTTCCAGTGTGCAGGATATAGCATTGTCAGATGGCTGCTTTACAGGACTGCATTTTGGGGAGAGAGAGTCTGCCAGGCACTCAGTCTCATTCAAGAAGGAAAAAAAGTTGCCCCTCTGGTTGGAAGCAGCATAAAAGCCTTGTTCTGTTCATGGGGCACACTAAAAAGACAGGGTGGAAATGCAGGTGTGCAAGAGCTGGAGAAGACACTAAAAGTCCAGTGGAGCTTTTGGCTACTAGTTGCCTTTCCTTAATTTAATCTGTGAAATTTAGTACTGTAGGCATCTGGTTGACTAGCAAATTAGTGGATTCATGATATGTGATTTATTGGCGTTTTTGAAATGTTTTTAAACTTGTTAAAATGAAACAATAAACTCTGTATTTATTTCACACCTTAAAGGATTGAATTTTTATTATTACATGCAGCTTTTTTCTCTTCAGTTTTAGCTCACCTTAATATTTTTTCCTGACTGGAATAATCATTGTATGGCTCCTATTTTATATTTTCGTTACATTTTCTTCCAAAAAATGAAATAGAAAATAAGACATAAAAACTAAGCAGGCTCAAATCTGGATATTATTTGCAATGAAAACCTGGAATTAAAAAAAATATCCTGAAGAAAGCAATGACCAACCCATCTCCCTCTCATATATCCTTTCTTATGTTTGGTTGCTGTTGTTTTGTCTAAGATCCTCCAGCTTGTTAGGAATGTGTCGATTGTTTTTGGTTTTTTTAATCTTCCTCACTTTCGGGAACAAAAAATACCTTCTTCCAATCTGCAATTGAATATTCAGGCTTTATTTTATTCACGTCGCCTTTTGTTCCACGTAAGTTCCTCAAACTTCGCAGTTCTTTTATGTAGGTCGCACACACTAAATCGCAAAGCAGCGAGGAATATTTATTTGCACGGAGATGAAATCAAAATAAGAATCGGGAAAAAGAAAACGGTATGAAATGCTATTTTCTACCGTTTTTCTTAAATGTCCGGTTTTGTATTGTTGTCCTTAGGAGAAACGACCCAGAGAATAAATTCTTAAGGTGCCTGGATCTGAGTTTGTGATGATTATAACATCGTACCGCAGTGCAAAATGCCATTCTGAAAAAGGACTTTACCTTCGCGCTCCATAGGACAACAATAACAGGAGCCACTGCCAAATAATCCAGCGCCAATGAATTCCTACCAAATGAGCAAGAGGTGCCAAAGCATACAAGCTGACGTCATTCCCCAGTCCTCCGCAAACAATGACAGCTTGCACCAACTTCGCCGGCTTGGCTTTTATACCGTTTTCCAAAGTAACGCCTTCTCTCTGATTGGTACGAGAAGAAATTATGACCATCGCAATTGGCTCAAATTCTGACTGATCCAGCCCTCTCCTCTCACCCAGTTTATTATGATTGAATGACCGATTAAGCCTTAGGCAGGATTGCTCCGCCTCACCTTTTATCTTCCCATTTGGATTCGCCAACGTCCCTGTCGCTCACTCCGGCTTCGCAAGGTTCCCCTCCGCCCCCCTTTCATTGACGCGCTTGTCGAGCGAGGATGCCATTGGCCTTCCGCGTTACGCTCTGACGGTGCGGGGCTACGATTGGCGTTTGGACTTTCCCAAGCCACGCCTCCTCCTTTCCATTCGTTAGGTGATTAGTGGAGGTGGCCGTCAATGTCTCTACTGTTCCCGCCTTCTGCCATTCCGAATCAGGAAGTGTTGGTCGCGGAGTGCTCGGGGATCTGTTTCTGCGATGGGAAGGCGAGCGGATCCCGGGGTCTCTGGTGAGAAATAAAGCCGGTGGTTTTGGGACTGAGCGGGCGGGCGGAATCCCCTTTCGCCTCTCCCTTCTCACGCAGGGTTACGGGTGGGGCTGTCGGCTTTTCCTTCTTTTCCAAATCGGATGGCCTCGCTTAGGTATTGTCTTGGGTTGAACCTGAAGGCTCCCGAGGGGGGTTGAGACATAAGACCGACCTTGCAGGAACAGCTCGGTAATAGCACATCTGGTTCAGTATCCTGGTCTCAAAAACATCCGGCCAGATGTGCCGGGAAAGATCCCGAGGAAGTTGGTGGGGGGGGGGGGGGAGAAAGGTATTGGCCTGTTCTTCGTGTCCCCAAGAGTGCTGCTTGCAGCTTCTGTTTCACTAATCGCTGCTCATAGAGCTAATCTTTTGTCAGCCCCCAAAGTTTCAAGCTAATAGATTTCTGCGTTTGTTGGATTTCTAAGGATTTGCACTCTTAAGGAGTGTGGCAAAACCTCCATTGCGCCAGAGAATTGTAGCGGCTTAGCCCAAAAGCACAGCAAATGTGCCAATGGTATATGGGAGGAGGAGATCGTTTTGATGGAAACATAAAAGGCTACATCTGATTCCTGAATGAAAAATCTTTCAGAAACAGCAACGCCTATAGAATTATATCGAATATAGAATAGCTATAATTGCACTCAACAGTGAACTAAAGGGCCACCATCAGTGAGCTGTTGGACAGCATTACTTGGTCGTTTGTGTGGTTTAGGGGCGGGGAATTTGTGGGTGGGGGTGTGTTTGGGGTTGTTATGTGTGTTGGACCTGGTCTTTGGGTGTTAAATGAATTTCGTTGTATGGGTATGCTGTGAATACCCATACAATGACAATAAAGTTATTATTATCCACTAATTGTACACAATGTTAAAACAAGCTTTGTTTTAGCAATCTTGACACCTATCAATTTGTTTCCTTAGGTCACTCACTTATAATAGAGGAGGGCACTTAGTGTGGGACAAAGGGGTTTGTCAGTCCATGAAAGGGGAACTTATGGTATTGAGCTATTCTGAAGTTATTGAACCTGCTAACGTGGGATTTCATTCTGGAAATGTATGTGCTGTGCTTTCTGAACTTCTTAAATGGATCGACATCTGTCAAATACTGGATCCTTGCAAATAGATGTAGGCATGTGTACAGAGATGAAGAGATGCTCTGACTTGGTCATAGATAGATGGAATACCTTATCTTTCACTCTCTCAGGTAGCATTGCCAGGAATTGCTTGAGAAATTGCTGAAAAAGATACATTTCCACTCCTTTGATCTGAAACGTGGCATCTTCTACTTGAAATTAGACATTTGTACAAAATAATAAATGGTTAACTGCTTGGCTTACAAAAGTGTCTATCAAAGAGATTGTCCAATTCCTGAATTAATCAGGGGTGAACTCAGATCTTTTGTGTCCGTCTTACTTATTACTTATTTATTTGAGACAAGCTGCTTTCATAAGCAATCCTGTAGCAGGTTGTTTTCTCACTTGGCTGCCGTCAATAACCTCATTGCACCTGATACCATAAATGTATTTGTGAAAGAAATTCTTACTTTCTGGAAAATATTACCTTTGTGTTAATGCTTCAGATGGGCGGAAGCATTTGAAATGTATAAATACTCTTCTCATATTTGTTTAGCTATGTAGTACAGTAATACTTTATTCCATACTGCAGTACTTGTGTCATCAGTATGATAATTGAACTTTAAGCACTATCACCAAGCACCACAAAACTAGTTCTAACCAGACTCTGAGGGTGAAGATAGTATATGCAATTTGAGAGCAAAGCTCTTTTCCATTATTCTGGAAGTCTCAAAGTTGCCAGCCTTGGAATAGGGATGGTGTTATGGCATCATTTGGGTAGGATTTTTTTGGAGGGTTGGCAACATGGCACCTTCATGTTTCCTGTAGAACCCAACTCTTTTATTACCATTAAACAAAATTTATTTAAGTTGTTTATTTCTTATTATTTTAATTATTTTACAGAGTTTTAGTGTTCTTGCATGAGATCCTTCAAAAATCCTCCAAATTTTTGCTGATTTTATTGATTTTAATTTGTATAGGTATGGCTTTGCCATGTTTCTGGAAAAGGTAAACAATTCCAGAACTATTTGGCTGGTGGAAATCACTATTCATGATTATATTGCCGCTCCCTCCCCTCTCCAGGACTTAGAGAGTTGAACATAATTCCTTGAAGGAGACCTAGGTTGTTCCGAATTGCAGCCATTTCTAAATCCCCTATTTAGGTATTATGTTGGCTTCACTATTTGCGATGGCAAACAGAGTGTCTACAAGCTAGAAATTCAGGCAGCAGCTTTGCAAATCAGTTAACAAAAGTTATTGACAAATATTTTTTACTGATTGCCCATTTTTAACTTATGGTAGTGACCTATTTACCTAGGAAACAAAAATAAATATTCAGGTACATTTTTTCTCCCCCGTCTGTTTCCAGTAAGTAAAATATTGTTTTGCACTATGATTTGGAGGTATTTCTTCCTTGACTCAGCCTGAAGACTATTTACAAGCCTACTGTAAATTATTTGAGAATGGTACTTTCAGAAACATCTCAGTTAAACAGCAGCTGAAATGGCAAACGTACACAGTAGGAAACCAAATGCTGTACTGATTTAGCTGGTGATCTTGTTTCTTTTCTAACTCTTCAATTGTATCCTTTACTTAATTTTTTTTCGGGAAACTTCAGGATTTCAGCTAAGAGACATGTGCTTCTTCTTTCTTTTGAAACTGATACTTGGAGTAACAATGTCCCCAGTTGAGAGGTTGCGTCTCAAGGCTAATAACTCTTGACATTCTCGTCCTTCATCTACTTATTCAGTACCTTCTTTAATGCCTTCCAAGTTATTGGCCACCGTCATGTCTTGTGATATGCATTCTACAGATTATGTGCTTGGTAAGAAGCTTTGCCTGTAAATCTCTTTTTGAGCCAGCTTTGCTGAATGGCCCTTGGCCTTAGTCTTTTGAGACAAGGAGTTTTCTAGCTCCATAGGCTAGGTTCACATGCTGTACTAAGTCATAATATAATTTGCTTGATTTGGGCTTATGCTATGTTGATCCACCGCTATGATTTACATACAGTTAAGGGATTTTGTCTTTGTGTTATGTGAGAATCAATTCCAGTGTAGCTTATTTAGACCGGTATGATTTTTAACTCATGGTTAACAAAGTATCTTAATGCTATGGGTGATTTCAGCCATTGTGCTAAATCTTATTTCAATCTATATCAATATTTGTCCCTCTTTCTCAATCAGGTATCTAGGACATTTTTACAAAAATGTCTACTCTCTTGACTAGAAAAACAAAACTCTTAATAGCTGGCAGGTTCATTTTTAGTTGTTCTTTACCTAAGTTCCACCTACCAAAATGCCTTCTTTTCTACAACAATTTAAAGTAAAAAAAAGATGTATTCTTGTTGGTATCTGTTTATTTTCAGGTTATTTCTGTTCTCTTTAGACCAAAATGGAACAGCAAAAGCGTAGAAATGTCTTCAAATGGTTCTCTTTCTTAAGTATGAGTACAGCCAATTTTTGTTCAGTGTTCATTTGACACATTGGATTACAAACCAGCCAACTACAGTATACTCCAACATATTGTGTCAGTGAGTTTAATTTATGGCTTATGCGCTCTTAATCAGGCTAATTGAGGACACAACCGGTAATTAATAATAAATATCTTGTGTGAACACAGTTTTGCCAGTAGAGGGCCAGAAGAAGAAGAACATATTTCTCACTAAAGAAAATCTGGACATATGTACATGTAAAAATTGTGTGAATTTATATGCTTGGATGAAAATTTAGAATTAAATGTATGTCCATTTGTAAAATTGCTTTTACAGAATAATGGATATTTAAGGTTTCATCTCTCTTCTTTAAGATTACAAGATGTATTTATATACACCCCCCCAAATAACATATTTGCTATTTGTTTCTGTATTGGCTTTGTTTTTTATTTGTTTTGGACTTTATTACACATTGGTTATATTCTCAGTGCTTATTGATATCAATAAGTTTTGCTTCTTTTTCTTATTTGAGATAATTATGCAAATAAAATGCCAATAATATGGGGGAAAACTAAACAGTGAATGTCTTTGCATCTAACCCAGGCTGTCAAGTTCACGGCCCGTGGGCCAGATGCGTCACGCCCACACCCAGTTTAGCAAAGAGGAAAAAAGTCCCGATACGTCATGTGACTCCGCTGTGACGCCACGAGTTTGACACCGCTGCTGCTAGCACTTTCAACCTCCTATCCTTTTTCGAATCATTAATGGCCAATTTCAAGGCCTTTGCTCTTTTTCAAGAATTCTTTATCTCTGAACTGGGATTCAAGCAAATAGCTTTTCAGGCAGAGGGCTGTCTTCTGTAAAGAAAGTTTACAGTTTGGTTGAATTTTATCAGTTATAGCCATGACAAAGAAGATCACTAAGGAGATGCAGCCCCTCTCAGGAATGCAGCTCCAGAAACTTGCTTGTAGTGATTAGTGGCCACCCGGCATTTCCTGCTGTCTCTTTGAGGCACCCCTGCTTGGGCATGTGATTGAGATTATAGCTGGGACAGCAGGCACAGATTGAGTTTTGCAAAGAGCCTGGAAGTGGCTGTGTCCTTTTCCTCAATCTGGGTTGGTACATTCCAGCTTGAAGAGTTGCATTAGTCGCACTGTTTGCTGTTAGGGTGGAGAGTACAGGACACTTGGGAGGTGGTACTTGTAGCTCTGTTCCTAATTTGAGAAATGGGTTGGGCCTGGTGAGGAGGCACCATAGCACCTGCATCCTGTTTGCTACTTAGGGAATTTCCTCATGCTTGCCTTTTGTCTTTGCAGTTGTTTGAGATGTGGAGATGGAGAACGAAGACCCTGGCTTACCTTGTAAAGGGGAGATGGAGCTCCCTGACCAGAAATGTGGGCTGGATCCTATAGACAGAAGTGAGTATTTTGAACTATGTGGTTTGGAACTAGAGAGCGGGGCAGAAAGTGTAGTGCCCAGATACACCTCCTTTGATGTCCAACAGGCTCTGCTTGTCTGACGTAGGTTCATTTAGCAAAAAAATAAATAAAAATAAATAGGAAACCACTTGTTGAAAGCTCCACCAGCTTCTCACAACATTTATTTACAGTAACTGCCTTTTAGTCTCTCTGGTTTAATGGAGAGCAACTTGTGTGAAGTAGATTAATTCCTGGGAAGTGAATAATTTGGGGCAAGCATTTGTGGATAGACAGATTTTCCAGGGCAACTATTTTGTGGGGGCACCCACTTCATAAGATTATACTCTCACTGACTTTACCTTGGTATGGTGTGTTTCTTCTACTCCAAACCTTCTGATTGGCTATAGTGAACTTTTCACTCTGACGCTGGATTCTTTTCACTTTATAGTCACTGTTTGGATCACTGTCTAGTTTGATGTGATCATTGCTTGAACTGAGTTTGGTTCAACATACAATATATTGTATGGTGAACATTCAATATATTTGGTACTGTTCCAAGGGCTGTAAGAAGAAAATGATACATCCTTTCTCCCAAAATTTACAGTTTAAACCTATGCACAATAAAGGGAAAAGCAAAGATAAGAATTGTATGTGAATTCACACATTTGCAGATATGTAATCTTTGTTTTCAAAAGCACTGGGATTAATGGGAAAAACAAGTGGGTTTGGAAGAACAATTCAGAAAAAAAATAGTAAGTGCTGTATTTGCATGCTATGTTAAGTACAGTTTATTGACTAAGCCACTATGGTCTTTTCACACAAAATCAATAAAATATTTTAAATTATTATATTACTTAAATTCACACAATTTACTAAATTACAATGAGGGGGATTTGGCTGTTGGCTTAGTAAGTTGTGTAAACCCAGCCACAGTTTAATGATAATTTAATGATAGTTTAAGAGCTGCGGTGGCGCAATGGTTAGAGTGCAGTACTGCAGGCTACTTCTGCTGATCACCAGCTGCTAGCAGTTTGGCAGATCGAATCTCACCAGTTTCAAAGTTGACTCAGCCTTCCATCCTTCCGAGGTGGGTAAAATGAGGACCCAGACTGTTGGGGGCAATATGCTGACTCTGTAAACCGCTTAGAGAGGGCTGAGAAGCACTGTGAAGCGATATATAAATCTAAGTGCTATTGCTAAGTGCTATATGTATTAATATACCATTTATAAGAAATTCAACAAATTGTGGTTGAAACAAATCTTGATTTAGTATGGTATATGAACCCTGTATTCATATAGAACATAAATGGAAGCAAAACATGGTTAGTGCAGGCTTTGGAGCCTACTTATCCTGACCATGATTGCTAAAAACTGATAGTATAACTTTTGACCATTTTCAGGTGAGAAATACATGAAAAGTATACTGTAAGCAAAAAAGCACTGTCCCCAGGCATTTTCTCTTATCTAGGGATTAGTCCTAGCAACTTGCAGCAATCAAATCCCACCCACCCTAAATATCCTGTTTTCTGAGAATTAATTTAGGCATTATGAAAAAAATAAGAGAGACTTGACCATTTAATTTATGTCAATGGGAGGAATATGTGTGTCGTGATGAGTTTACTGAATTTGATGTGAAGACTTTATTTATCCCTTGATATAGTTACATAATCTGCTGAATAAATGGGAACCTCTAATTACTGATCCAGTTTATGGAAAGCAGATGGGGGACAAAGATTACTTCTGGATTTTTTCCCCCCTGTGATTTCTCAATATGCTTTTCCAGATGGGGATGAGTCCTGTTCTGTCTCAGAGAAGCAGGAGGAGGTACATGCTGCCCCAAATAATGGACCCATGAGTGTGGTAATTGACAAAGTGAACGGGCAGGAGGAGCTGAGAGAGGCCCCGGAAGAACTGAGTGACAAAGATGTGTCTGACTCAACCTCAACTGACAACACTTGGGAAGATTCGAGTGAGTTTCACCGACAAATGGTGATAGGAGATGGACCATCAGGAGAAGAGGAGGCAGTGATACAGTCACGCCTGGCTACATACCGAGATGAAGACGTGACTGCAGAGAGTTGGCGGGCACACAGGAAACATGTCTTCATTTTAAGTGAGGCTGGGAAACCCATTTATTCACGTTACGGCAATGAAGAAGCCCTTAGTTCCACCATGGGTGTCATGATGGCACTGGTGTCATTCATCCAAAGTGGGGATAACTCTATTCGCTCCATTTATTCTGGTATGGAAACAATTTTAAAAGGAGTAACGCTTAACAAATATTGTAATTTATTAGGAGGTTATATGTGCCTATGATCTAACTAAAATAAGAAAAACTTGGGATTGCAGTGCTTAGAGTTCATTATGGGCCACCCACATAATTTAAAGCACTGGGTTATGGATCAGTTCCCATATGTGTACCCATTTTGATAAGTATTGTTTATTAAAATGTCTGAGAGCCTTTCCAAGTAGGCTGTTCTAACCACTACACCAAAAACAGTTGTATTTCCCTTGCTACTTAGTATCTTGAGGTTGTCATTATACTATATTTATACTGTATTGTAGGTGGTGAAATGTAGGCAATAGTATGCCAACTTGTAATTTATAAATTAGAAACCTTAACCTTACATAGAATATAGTGTGGTTGCTTGAAGTAAAATGGAGTTTTGGTTAAATTTCTAGTACATTGGCCAAAATTTCCTCAAACCTAACCAGTCTTTAAACGTTAGCAAGGGACGCTTTACATAAATGTAAATGTATAGCTATAGCTGGTAACCTAGTTGATATTTTTTGAATCTTACTAAAAATGTTGTATAAAAGCCTCCGTTGATTAAATTTACAACTCGAAATGTAAGAGGAGTTTAGGAAATTATAAAGGGGAAGGGTGCCATAGTGTTCTAATTTTTTAGAGCAGAGTTGATGAATTCATGTAAAATGAAAGTGTAGAGTTAAACGTTGAATAAAAGAGAGAACTGTGTGTCAGCTAGTATAAATTAGGTCAATCACGGATGAGTTTTAGGAAAAATGGTGCAACATTTTGAATAAATGTGAGGTAAGAAAAAATATTTTTAAGTGACAAGCAAGTAGATAGGAAGATAAAAGAGCATAGAAAAAGCGCCTGGGCCATTTGAAGACTCAGGAATAAATGAAAATGGTGATTATTGGTGAATATTTGCTTTGAAAAAGGTATGTTTGTTTAGTATATATGGTTTAAATAGGTCTGTGTGAATACATGCCAAAGAAAGGAATGTAAATCTAAAAGCATGACTGATTTGATAGTTTATGTTGAAAAGTTGAATGAATGTGGATCATATTGCAAAACAAATCTGTAAAGGAAGAGTGAAGGGGTCAAGAGGAGAACCAAGGAAATCTCCATTTTGTTAAACTGAGGAACTCCTCAAGGATGAGAAATTCAAGAAACAAAAGGCAAAGAATGAATTGATATACAAGTAATTCTCGCTTACCAACCCTAATTGGGACCAGAATTTCTGTCACTAAGCAAAGTAGTCATTAAGTGAAGCATCATGTGACTATACTACTTAATGTTGGCAGTTCTAGCAGTGCTGGTTGGAGTCATTAGGCCAGGACTGTGCTGTTGTTAAATGAGGACCTGCTGCTTCTCCTGCTTTGTGTTACTCATCTCCACTTCAACTTCCCTCCTCCTGCCTCAGTATCTTCCCCCTTCTTTGGCTGCCCTGTGCTTTGCTGCCTGTGCACTCCTCTGTCCCTGTTGCCTCAGCTGACTTTCACCAGAGCCGTGGTAGTGAGGTGGTTAGAATGAACTATTTGTAGGCTAATTCTGCCAACTGCCAGCAGTTCGAGCCTGACTGGCTCAAGGTTGACTCAGCCTTCCAATCTTCTGAGGTTGATAAAATGAGGACCCAGATTGCTGGGGGCAATATGCTGACTCTGTAAATTGCTTAGAGAGGATTGTAAAGCACTGTGAAGCGGTATATAAGTCTTATTGCTATTGCTATTCTTCTTCCCACTGCTGAAGACGTGTTCCCAACCTGGGCCTTCGTAAGGCAGCTGCTGGCTATATCCAGCCTTCCTGAATATGGAAGGAATAATATGGAAAACAGAATGTACTCTTTTTTGCTACAGGTTTTTTTAAAGAACCTTTTAAAATCAGTATGCCAGAAGAACATGCAATATGTTACTGTATTTTCTCCATTGCTAATTACAGGTAGTCCTTGAGTTACAACCTTCTGTTTAGTGACCGTTCAAAGTTACAACAGCACTGAAAAAAGTGACTTATGGCCATTTTTCACACTGACAATTGTAGCATTCTCATGGTCATGTGATCAAAATTCAGATGCTTGTCAAGTGGTTCATATTTATGAGAATTGCAGTGTCCTGAGATCACGTGATCACGTTTTGTGACTCTGACAAGCAAAGTCAATGGGGAAGCCCAATTCACTTAACTACCATGTTACCAGCTTAACAACTGTAGTGATTCATTTAACAACTCTGGCAAGAAAGGTCATAAAATGGGGCAAAATTCACTTAACAGTTATCTCACTTAGCAAGAGAAATGCTGGACTCAGTTATGGTTGTACGTCAAGGACTATCTGTATTAAAACAAAATTATTATAACATGTTCTAGGTGGGATGGGAAGTTGAACTTGGAGAACAGATACGTAAGGGTATAGCTGGAAGAATAAAAGCATGCTTTGACTGTTTTAAAAAGAAACTGTTGTTCCAGCTTGTATTTGATTTTAGTTCTAAGTTTAATAGATAAAATTCTGGCTTTTGTCTTAGTAGAAACCACAGACTATGATGTAGTATTATGCTGAGCAAAGAGAAAGGTGGTTTTATGAGCAACTCTTTATCCAGGAAAGAAAAAAACCCAAACTCTAAAGATAGTTTACGGTGAGCACATCTTAATTCTGGAACTTTTGCCATGCTATTAATATTTTGATATGTGCAGCCGAGTGCCTGCTTGGTGCAAATGCATGCTTCCTTTTAAAGTTCCCAACCACATGTTCATGCTCCCAGCAAAAGCTTAGAAGATTGCTGACGTCACCAAATTCTAATTAAGGGAAAAGGGATTAGATTCATGCACTGAACTAATCTGTGATTTGGTGCCAGAATTCTCAGCTAATTTAGCTTGGGATTTATGGGTATTGACGTTCGGATGGATTTAATTTAAAACAGATTCATGTGAAGTTTTAGATAGGAAAATTTGTATTTAACTATAAATACATTTATATTTATTTAAATAGAAATACATTCATATTTAAAATTCTAAATATGTTTTAAATTATATTTCACTACTCAGACTATAATTCTCATTTCTGATAAAAAGTTATTTTTGTTGTTTGATATATCCTGAAGACAGTGCTCAGTGAGACATGTGGACTTTTTAAGAAGATACACGATCCATGTCACACATAGCCAATCTAGGCAAATCTTGAAAAAAGCTAGTATTGTAGTATTTGGATGGGATTAAGTGACTATTTCCTGAGTATTCCAGGACTGTTGATGAAATTAGGAAGCCAAAAAAAGAAGGAAAAGACAGTGACAAATATTGCCAATTTGTCAGCTTGATTCAAGGTGCCAGATTTTCATATTAATGTTTAAAATGGAACAATAGTCTTAATATCAAGGAAGCAACTAATACTTGTAAAATCATTAAGAGCTGAACCAGGTTCAGTTCATTTCTAGAATAACCATCACCAGTTCTTAATATTACTTGGTGGTTGTACTGATAGAAGTAGAGCAATTATCTCTTTTTCTTAACTGCATTAAACTATCTGACTTCAAGCTATTGGCCATAGATGATAAGATTAAAAAATAAGATATTAAAAATATTATTTGTAAGACCTGTTCCCTCCAGCATTTTCAATGCAGGAGCAGTTTTCACTGTTACTTTAGTCCTTGAATTTCTGTGCCACGCCATCATTAAAATAATCTTATTTTTAATTATTAATTTGTTTCTAGTTTTACTCAGTAGAAGATATATTTCAGAACCAGAAAAAGACTCCTCAAATCCTTATGATAACAAAAATATATTCTGCTCACTTTTTATTTCATGGTCTATTTTCCCAGTTCCTGGCATTTATACTGAGATTCTTCTTCTTTGCCCAGATTTGCTCCATCAACTCAAATCCTGTACAGTAAATCCTTGGTTTAACTTTTTTTTTTAAAGGAAAACAAATAGAGATTCTAAGAAAGCTAATATTGCATTTGTTGAATGTCCAAAACTGGCTCTATTACAACAGTGCCGCACTCGATCTACTGAAGCAATGACTGTTTTTTCCCCTCCCTCCTTTTACCGTAGATGATCACAAACTGGTTTTTGTGCAGCAGGGCCCTTTGGTACTGGTTTCAGTTTCACATACCCTACAATCAGAGCAGCAACTACGCCAGGAGCTTTTGTATGTCTACGATCAGATCATCAGCATGCTTACTCAGGCCAGCATCAATCGGATCTTTGAACGGAAAAAGAACTATGACCTCCGGCGTTTGTTGACCGGCTCGGAGAAGATCCTTGACCGTTTGCTGAACCTGGTTGAATCAGATCCTTGTTTCCTCCTTGGAGCTGTCCGCTGTTTACCCCTTGCTGCCTCCATCCGGGATTCCCTTGGCACTTTGCTCCAAAAAGCCATCACCCCTAATCTGGTCTTCTCTATTTTGGTGGCTGGTAGTCAGTTGGTCACCACAGTGCAGGAGAAAACAGTCATTGAAGATTGCCGATTAGAACCTACTGACTTGCACCTGTTACTCAATCTCATTGGGGCAACTTCTGCCTTTCAAACGGGGGAAATTTGGACACCTATTTGTTTGCCACGTTTCAATCCTGATTGTTACTTTTATGCTTATATTTCTTATTTGGATTCAGAATGTACTGTCTGCCTCATCCTTCTCTCTACGGACAAGGACTCTTTCTATTCTGTTTCGGACTGCAAGAAACGCATTGAGGAAGGCATGAGGACTCAGAACTATCTGCAGGCACTCTCAAGTGGCTTAAAGAGCCCATCCTATAGTGTAGGACTGGTGGGAGTGCCAGATCTTCGGCACTTTATGTATAAACCTCTGGATATACCAGATAATTACCGACAGCTTCCCCAGTTCACCAGGTAATATGCTTTGGAGGGTTGAAATTGACTCTGATCAGGACCAAATGACATCATAGATACCTCCTGAAGCAAGAAGGTATCTATGATGTCATCCTAGGGGCCAGTTTCATCTGTCTTTTGGTTCTTCTTCCCCTAGATCCATGATGGCGAGCCTATGGCACACGTGCCACAGGTGGCACACGGAGCCATATCTGTGGGCATGTGAGCGTTGCCCTAGCTCAGCTCCAGCGAGCATGTGTGCGCCGGCCAGCTGATTTTCGGGACTCCCGGGCCCACTGGGATTCGGAAAACGGGCTGTTTCCAGCCTCCGGAGGGCTGTGGGGGTTGGTGGGTGGGGAAGGCCATTTTCACCCTTTCCAGGCTCCAAGAAAGCCTCTGGAGCCTAGGGAGGGTGAAAAATGAGCCTACCATGCCCACCGTGCCATCGTGTGCCAAAAGCGGGGGTTGTACGGGGTGTGTGTGTGTCACGTGTGCGTGCGCGGCGGGCGGGGTGCATTGAATTATGGGTGTGGGCGCATGCGTGTACGCCCTCCTGCACTTCCCCTGCTTTTGGCACATGACGGCAAAAAGGTTAGCCATCACTGCCCTAGATATTCACAGATGTCTTAATGTGACGTATCATTCGATTCAGGCTTGGAGTAAAATCTAGAAATGTGGCTAGTTTTTTTTAATGGCCTGAACCTGCTCAAGAAAGAATTCCTGAGATTTTGTTGTTGTTGTTGTAACTTTCCCTCATAACAAGTTAATGTTCCTCTTGATTTTGGAGATGTGTGGGGGAAGCTGATGATCTGATATCAAAAACAAAGCTGAATTTGCCACTGGGTTTTGTCATTCCTGGCAGTAAACATGTACTGCATTTTGAGTGTTTCCTCAGTAGTAAAGCTACCTTAGATCTTTTTTCTTTTAAAGGTTGGTGAGTTGAGGCTGTCCTTCTCACTCCTTTACTCTTCCCCTCTTTATAGCTGGCAGCCAGAAACTGTGGGAAATGCTAAGCTACGTTTATTCAGTTTGTTTTAAATAGAGCAGTCATGTGACATTACTTTCCTCCAGTCCACAAGGATCAATGTGTAGAAAGAGATTTTATCTTGCGGTTTCTTTGCTGCAAGAAGGGAATCAAAGGCTGAACATCATAAGATCCCAATTAGCTGGCAAAATTTATAAACAACAATAATCTAAAAGATGTTAAGAAATAAAATTGACTGATGTATTTTAGTGCCTTAAAGGAATGATGTTGTTTAAGAAATCCTCTTTCTTCACTTCATTGGTTTTGGGAAAAACTGCATGAATAGTATCCCTCTCTTATTAGAATGGGCCATGTGATTTATTTTGAGAAGAACTTGTTCTGCAGTTTCTTCTGTTTTCCAGGTCTCCCTGGACCTGGGAGTCTTCCCAGGTCCAGGGAGCTTCTTCTGACCTATATAGTACAATATATTATAGAATAGTAGGGTAAGCCACAAAGCTAGCCTGTTTCAGAATCAGATTTATAGTCGCTTCAGAAGATTCTGAAAATTTTCTGAAAGCTGATGGCATTAAACTTAAGTGATTAGCACTGGGCTGAGCATTGCCACATCTAGCAATGCTCAGTTCTACATCTGTAGAACAACAGCTCATTGTATACAAATTCTGGAGTCTGTTCTGTGATAAGACATTGTATAGGCGAACACTAAGCTGCTTGTTTCCTCAATATCTTATTTCTCATCTACTACAGTCCAGAACTGGAGGGGCCATATTGCAATGAGAATGAACGGCATCGACTCTTTGACCTCTACCACTACCTTCACGATCGCATCCACAGTACCTCACGTCCTTTACGTCTCATCTACCATGTAGCTGAAAAGGAGACTTTATTGGCTTGGGTGAGGCCTGGCAACTTTATTGGCTAAGGATGGAACTCTGTGGTAGACTTTCAGGTGGATGGGCTAGATCTGTTTTAGATGAGGACATTATTAGAGCATTCCTAAACCCATGTTTTCTTCATTTGATTTACTACATAAAGGGCAAAAACTTGCAGGAAATTATTTGGAGAGATGGAGTCTTTAGTCTTTCATCTGTTCACTGATTCCCTATTATGAATCTTTATTTGGGGATGGGTTTTTCGGCCATAAATAATAATGAACTACCAACCATTATAATACTTGATAGGTGGATAAAAATGCCAAACCTCGTCTAAACATTTGGCTGACTGCATGATCAGTCATAATTACTATCAATCTTTCCTTATTGGTTTTAATAGTTGTTACACCAGTTGGTTTTCTAAACCTGAAATAAATAATTATTAGCAGCAGAAGGAAAAGAAGCAGAAGGGAAAGATTCTCACATTGCTTTTTTAAAAGTGCACTGTCCTAGATTAAACTGGTTTTCATCTTTGTCATTGGTGGTAAAGGAAAGGTTAAAAGGAAAAGAAATAAGTATCAATTAGAGAGTCATTATTTTCAGGAAGAATATGAAACTACTTTACAGAGGCTCAGGGAGAACCCTTCAGAAAAGATGTAAACATCTTGGGTATTTTGAAGCAATGACAAAAAAAAATTTCTAGTTCCAATTTTAAAAATGGGAGCAATTTTGACTTGGTTCAGTATTTTCTTATTTAAGCATAAAAATATTGTTTTGTTTTTTTAAAAATTTGATTTATATGCCGCCCTTCTCCGGAGACTCAGGGTGGCTTACAATGCGTTAAGCAATAGCCTTCATACTTTTGTATATTTATACAAAGTCAGCTTATTGCCCCCACAAACTGGGTCCTCAATTTACCTACCTTAGAAAGGATGGAAGGCTGAGTCAACCTTGAGCCTGGCGAGATTCGAACTTACAGTAATTGCAGACAGCTGGTGTTAATCACAATGCTATCAGTCTGCTGAGCCACCAGGCCCTTTTTAATTATGTGCAAAATTATAGCACATAAAATTATGTTACTTGCAGTGTTTACAAAATTACAAAACAATCCTATTCATGGTTTGCCATTGCCTGCTTTTTGTAGCTGAGAAAGAAGGACTGACCCAATATCACCCAGCTGGCTTTATGCCTAAGACAGGACTAGACCCCAGAGTCTAATTTGATGCCTTAGCCACTACACCAAGCTTACCTGTACATAAACGCAGCAGAATGAAAGCTTTAAATTGATAAATTTCAATTTGTTAATTTACAGGAGTAGTAGCAGTATGTTTACATATCAAGTGAAACTTGTATTACAGCAATATTTGAATGCTTTCAAAAAGCTCTGCAGTATGACTAAGAATTACCATAGCATTTTTAACGTTGGCCATATTTTTCATACTATACATCTTAAGGAAGTCAATGGTCCTGTAAAACAAAATATTTCGTGGAAATATTGGAGACCATTTGGTCATTCAAGAATTTAGGAACCACAACCACTGATAAGTTTTATAATGAACTAAGGTTTCATCTAGGAATTGGGAAAGAGCTGGGGTATCTTAATCCTTTTGTTTATTCTCAAAAGTTCTCTCTTTCCTAGTTGGAGTTGTTGGCTTCCCCTGCATTCACCAGTTAAAATTTTACATGTGTTCTCTGGTGGTAGCTATGCAGCCTGAACGGTCAATCTCTTTTCCCCCCCTTTCTCAATAGGTTACAAGTAAATTTGAATTATATACCTGTTTCAATCCTTTGGTGACGAAAGCTGGTGCCATCAATGTCTTGACCAAACTCTTACGTTGGATAAAGAAGGAAGAAGACCGGCTCTTCATCCGTTACCCACCCAAGTATTCCACTACACCTAATCCTGGGAAAGGAAGCAGGGGTCCCCGAACGGATGGTACCGAGAATGGCTTCTTTGGAGGAGGTCACTAGACCAAGGACTTCCAGTTGCTCTCAAATGCATTCTGAATGCGTGCCACCTTACAGATAGCCCTGGATGATGGAACCGTTCTGTGATCTGGGGGAGCCCCTAGTCTTGTTTTCTAAACCAGGACAGGATGGTGGATATGAGAAGGATCGGAGTTTACCAGGCTAAGCTGGGTCACATTGTTGGAGATAAATCCAGAAAGCTTTAGCCTGATGTTTTTAAATATTTTTTCCACTTGTGGTCTTTATTTCTAGGGAGATACTGAATCAGATGGAGATCCTGAGATTGACTGGAAATAGATGAGGCTTTGGCTGATATATCTTTGGAAGTGACATAATAACTGGAAGTTACAGAATTTCATAAGGATTGTGCTTAAATTACATTGATGCTTTTGCAGCCTAGTGGGTTTACATTTCTTAAAACTCCTGTTATCACTGGGTAATTGCTTTGTTTTCTCCATTCAGTTTCCTCTTCCTCCTTAGCAGTTTACTCGGGTGCTTTGCTTGTCTCAAAGAATAGTACAAATGGGGTAATAATATAAAGAGAGCCACAGTGGGAGACAAAAAGTTAATCTTAAAAAAGTTTGAAAATACTTGCTGCTTTCTGATACAACTGCTTGATTGTCCACAGTTCTTCTGGAATGCGTGTGCAAAGCCCATCACAATGGTGGTGATTTATTGGAAGGCTGGCACTTTCAGACAGTGTGTAATTTAGATTTTCTATAAAGATAGCTGATTTGAATAATTTTAATGCAACTTTGGGAGTAGGTCAAAATGCCCAGTTCCAAAGAGTCTTTTATCCTGGGACTATCTAGCAGTATTTTTGATGAACATACATGTCGCATCTTCATGTTGTACTATAATTACCCTTTGAATGAGAGGGGCTGCTTCAGCCCTTTGTTCTGATACCACGAGAAGGTATATAATGTGTGATATAATGTGGTATATAATATGTGAAGGGTATTTTGTAGTCCTTTGAGAAATTTGATGTCTGTATGTAATGGCTCAACTTGGACAATGTAATTGATTATGATGGCATTTTGATTTACTTTTTAATGTCTTCAGTTTGAACCTAACTGGATTTAACTGTTCCTTTGCCTTTCATAACTTTCTTCCTGTCTTCCTTCCTCTTCCTCTTCTTCTGTTTCTTCATGTTTTAAAATTCCTATGTGCAATTGGAATACACTGCTCTCAAAAGGATTTTTGTATTTTTTTCCCTTTGTTGAGATGCCACTGTTCTCTTTTCCCACCTCATAATTAGGAAGACACGTAACTCCATCATAAATTTACTTTTAGATTTAGTACTGACAAATATCACTCCATGTCTGCCAAATTCAGATTTTGTCTGAATGTAAGTGTTCTCGGAAAGTGACATTGAAGTAACAGTAACAGAGTTGGAAGGGACCTTGGAGGTCATCTAGTCCAACCCCCCTGCTCACACAGGAGACCTATAGGGATTCGAACCGCTGACCTTTCTGATCTACAAGCTCAGCGTCTTAGCCACTAAGCCACCTAGGGAGCTGCCACATCACTGACAAGCAGTTGTATTATTTCCCTTCCTCAGCAGTTGCTGCTCTGCCATGCAAAATATGTTCTGTATAAATTAGTTGCTCTTTTACTGAGTCTTTTTGTGTTTCTATTCATATTTGTTAAAATTAAGGCTTAGGTGTGGGAATATAATCCTATCCCTGTATCATATCTTATGATGAAGGAGGGGAGAGAGAGTATGTGTGTGCATAGTGAGGGAAGACTTAATTTAACCTGCGATTCCTGTATAAGTGGGATGGTAGTTTTGGACCGAGTATAAAATGGATTTGACCTTCTTTGCCAACCATGAAAGAAGTGAAGGAATTATGTTATTTTGAATCTGTTGCTATTCAATTCCTTTTGGTGATGCATGGTTGTTTTTGGCTGGCATTTTTTTCTACCCATAAAAGAACAGCGCTGCTTGTATGCACTGGCTGGCTGATGCTAAAAGTTTATATTTCTAGCTGAGCTGATACAGTGAGAACTGGAGACATCTGATGACATGCCAACAAAATCCGTTTTAAAATCAGCTCCATCTTGGCATGTGTCTCTTCCTTTTTCCATCTGCCGGCACATTTTGTAAAAAAGCTATCTTTAATTTGTAAAGATTAGCTGCATTATTTGTTTCAGGGATCCTTTGTGCCAATGTTGCAAGTACCAAGGCAGTTTCTTCACATTGTTAAAATAGGTCTACTTTAATTGTATGCAGTCTAGTCATCAGTTAATTTATTTATACCTATATCAAATCTGGATATAAGGAAAAAAGCAATTACTGTAAAAAAAGAACATTTTAAACATGTATTTCTTACCAAGGCAAACTCTTAAAAATGGTATTCTTCTTACTTAGAAGGGGAAGAGCTTTGACAGTTGCTGTGTTCTGTAAGTACTTGTAGGGTAAAGTCCTTGTATTTTTGTACAAGTACTTCTATATGTAGTTAAAAAAGGAACTCATTTAATTGGGAGCACTTATTTAATCTATGCAAATGATTTTAATTAATTTATTTAATTAACTAGCATTGAAGATGTGCAAAAAGTTGATTAACAACATTTTAATGGGGCTACTTGTTTTTAATGTAATTTGATTGGTAATTCATTTCTTAAAGAAACAGCTTTTTTATCTGGAAGAAATATCTTATTAGATGTAAGAAACATACAACTTTTTTTTCTAAATCCAATGTTTTAAAATTTACCTGCAGACTGCACTCAACTGATAACCAACGGCATACAAAATATTGAAGAGATCCTACAAGTAGAAATTTAAAAGTTACATCTTTTTACTCTCCTCTAAAGTTTAAAGAGAGGTAAACTGTAGCTTCTAAATAATATTTTTCTCTTTAACAATTGGGGAAGAAAAAAAATCTGAAACACTTGACAAAAAAGATAATGCTATTGTCAGGAGGCTTTCTACGTGATTTTTTCCCCTTTATTTTTATTTTTTTTACTTTTTTTTCTTTGTCCCTCTATTTTGTGCCTGTCCTGCAGTTTGTTCCTTGGTTCCTGCAGTTGATTTTGAGCCTTTTGGGCTCAAAAACTATTCTGTCCTATGCAGATTAGCTGGCATTAGTGAGTTATGTGTAGTCTTACAACATATATTTCACTGAGATGTTAATTTATTTACTTTTAAATTATTATTTTATTTATAAACCTTTTTAGATAAATAATCTTTGGAGAAGATGTCCAGGTGGGCTATCAACACTAATTTGAGAATATTAGTTTTCAGGATGAATAGCAACAAAAGAAAATTGGTCAAAATTGTATGGGACAAGGCTGAGGTATAATGCTGTTTATCTTTTCTCCACTACTAACTTAAAGTGCTATCTATTGTTCTTGAGTTGTCAAAAAAAAAAAAAAAAACTATACTAGATGAATATTGTTGCTTTCTGTTGCTGATTCTTCCTTTGCTGTGTGTATTCGGGGTCATTGACAAATGATGCTGACTAAATTATACATATAAAGGTAAAGGTTTCCCTTGTCCAGTCATGTCCGACTCTAGGGAGTGATGCTCATCTAAAGCTGAGGGAGCCAGCGTTGTCCAAAGTCACTTCTGTGATCATGTGGCCAAAATGACTATATGCAGAGGTGCATGGAATTCTATTACCTTCCTACTAAAGCGGTGCCTATTTATCTGCTCGCATTTGCATGCTTTTGAACTGCTAGGATTGCAGGAGTTGGGACAAGTAATGGGAGCTCACCCATTGCGTGGCACTTGGGTCTCGAACCTAGGCTGTCATCTTTTCCAAGTGACAAGCTCATTAACTTTAACCGCTGAGCCACTGCACCCTCAAATTATACTTATAGCATTAATATCTAAAAGAACATATTGTATGGCACTGTGGGAGATAGGTCTGACTATGGGATCCTGTCCACCTTCCTTTGAGTCCTCTTCCTATACCCTATTTTGACATGACACTTTGAATAAACTTAAAAGAAAAATAGATTGGACTCACAAAGGAAGTTGTGTCATAAACAGCAGGATTTCTCTCCCCTTCTCATGTTTCCTTTATGTAAAATAAATGCTGACTTCCAGATTCCTTTGTGGTCTGCTTGAGAAGCAACTGGGAAGGTGAAATTGATCTTGTCATTTTAGAGTTGCTCCATTTTAGTGATATATCTCTTCTTCCAGCTTGGTTTTATTAATACTGCTTCATCCTTCTGCTTCTTCAGCCTTACTTTAGAGCAGTTTAAATATTTACAGTATTGAGCTGTGTACCCAGCTTTTTAGAGTTGATGGCAAAATAGTGACAAATGAAGATGATCAAGGATTAGAAGAGAGGGAGCATGCTGTATCCCCTAGAATTCACCAACAAATGCCACTCTGGTCCCACTCACACTGATCACCTGATGGATCTTTCCCTGTTGCACCTAAGCATGAAATAAACATGCCATTTTTGTGGGGTCCCCATAGTATTGCCTTCATCTCATCCTCAATTCATGCTGAGGAAAGTTTTACTCATTTTTAGCTGTAGTGTTAAAGCCTATTTTTTCCTTAAACTGACAACATCCAAAAGCTGCTGCAATGGGTATAAAATTGGTCATTTTTTTTGCCTCCCATTATATTGGAGATGAAGTAGGTTTTGAACTCCATTTTTAACATTTATTCACCACTTTTGCTGAATCTGTTGCCTTGTCTGGAATAGGGAGAGCACAACATTGTTAACATTGCTGAATGCTGCAGTTTAGAACTACACCAAACCTGGAATAGATATATTGGATTGCAGGGGTGGGATGCCTTTCAGCTGTTATTGACCCATTGCAATTTACACCAGTTTGGACTGTTTCTGCATGTCTCCCTTTCTCCAATGAGTGTGAATGTAACTTATTATTATTTTGGATCTCTTCCAAAAGAATTGGCTCCTTTTTGTTTTTCCCCCTTTGTCAGAAAGCCTGTCAGCAGTTATCCTGCACCTGCAGAATAAATTATGTTTCACATTACCAGTAGAAGAATGTTGTATTATATATATGTAAATTATGTATAATTTTTCATTACTGTACTTTGGAAACTGGAAGCAGACAAGGCAATTGTATTTAAATCTAGACAAAATCAAAAAGTAATGCTTGGCAAGCTTTGTGGTGTGAAAGACTTGAGTCCACTTGAGTAACTTAAAACAAACATGGACAAAGTTTTACTACCTAGAGCAGTGGTTCTCAACCTGTGGGTCGGGACCCCTTTGGGGGTCAAACGACCCTTTCACAGGGGTCGCCTAAGACCATCGGAAAACACATATCTTCAATGGTTTTAGGAATAATTTTATGGTTGGGGGTCACCACAACATGAGGAACTGTATTAAAGGGTCGCAGCATTAGGAAGGTTGAGACCCACTGACCTAGAGCTATATTTTTACTTTTATCTTTTTCAGCCACTGAGGGCCACACCATGAGTAGTGATCTGGTTAATCTTCCAGGAGGGGATTGAGCCATAAATTTTGTTTTTTTAAAAAGTGGCCTTGGTATTTCTTTTATGCAAAATAATGTGTTTTATGTGTCCCCTCTGCTGAAATTGCATTGTTATTAAATTGTGATAGCACTGTGGAGTGGAGAGTGGTTGGGGGCTAGCTGCAAAAATGGATCTGAGGACCACCTGTGCATCCTGACTCAATACATTTGGCTCATTCTCTTCATTTAGCTTGAGGTACTACTGAATTTGAATATTTAGGGACCGGTAGTAATTTTTACTTTTAGAATAAACTATGATTTTTTTCATATATATATAAATTATTCAGGTTTTTGGAATGGTAAAGGTAGGCCACAATAATGTCTGTTTATATAGGATTTCGGACAGTATAGATATTTTCAGTGGCCATCTGCAAGGTCAAGGAAAATCATGTACAGATATTCTTCAACTTATGACCATTCATTTAATGATAGTTTGAAGTTATGATTGCTTCAGAAGAAGTGACTTATGACCTATCCTTGAAGTTACAACCATTGTACTACCACCACAGTTGTGTGATTGCAATTCAGGCACCTGGCAACTGACTTGCATTTACAATGGTTGCAACATCTTGTGGTCACATGGACTGCAATTAGCAACCTTCGCAGTCGGATTCTGACAAACAGAGTTAATTGAGGAAGCCGGATTTGCTTAACAACCATGTGATTCATTTAATGACTGTGATTTGCTTAATGACCAATTGAAGAATATATATGTAGCTCAGGAATGAACTGTGGAGACCTTGGTGCTCTCTGAGTTTGGTTGGTTTTTTTGCAGACATTTCATTACCTGACTAGGTAACATCTTCAGTGCTAGAAGGGAGCTGGGTTTGCTTTTTGTTTATATACGGTAGCTTGTCCACAGGGGCAATGTTTGCAAGAAAACAACCAAGCTCAGAGAGCATCAAGGGCTCTACAGCTTAACAACCATAGTAAAAAATGATTGTAAAATTGGATCTAGTCATATGATGACTCACTTTATAACCACAGTGGCTTCTGACAGAAATTCTGGTCCCAACTGTGATTGTATGTTGAGGATTACCTGTATGCTTCATTGTCTCTTCTCTCACTCCATGTTATTTATCAAATGTTTTTCATGGAGCTGGTGTTGACCAATAAAACTGTAACCTTGTGCTGTGCCAGAAGCATTTCCATCCAAGAAACTTGTAAACTTCCTAGAGTCAAGAATGTAAGATGAATTGCTAAATTAAATTAAATTCAGTTCAGTTAAAATAGTGCATCATGTATTGTAAAATTCTGTATTCTGGAAGACTTGATAAAGCCTAGAATAATTTAAGAAGCAGAAATTCAAGTGGGCTTTATTTACTATGGATAAAGCAGGTCCTACAAACCAATTTCTTCTGAGCTGGGAGGGATTGACTTGATCATTTAACAATGTCATCTTTCCTTTTTGGTGCTAAATGAAGAGTAATCCCTACTTTGTTATTAATTGAAACAGCTCTTTATTTTCCAGAAATATGCGTTTGACTTTTATTTTTTGAACTTGAAAAATGTAATTTTCTGTCATATCATGTTTTCAGTGTTTTATTTGCTTTTCTTCCACTTTTTCCCTTCTCCACATTTTACCAGTATTCTGTTAAGACACAGCATTTCTTTGGTCCTCTGCAGTTGTATAACCTGCCCTAGGATCTTACATTAGTTATGTAATAGGACTGTTACACTTGACCATTATTTTATTTCCCCCTTTTTGCTGCTTTTGTACATTATAGAAAACTTGATGGAGTGTTGTAAGCAAATTAGCCCCATCAGAGTATTTCTCTTTGGCAGAATCTCTGAGGTCTTGAAGGAAGAACTGAGCTCTTGTAAATAAAATAATAAAACTATGTCAACAGCTGCACTTGAAGGAGCCTAATAAAATATTGTAGACTTAAAGTGTGGTTGGTGTCTGAATATTTGCATTCCTGTATGCTCTTAACAAAAGATTGGAGTAGCAGCCAGCTTCTGTTGCTTGTATCATGTGCCCAAATTCGCTTCATCACCGTATTAGTAACAGCAAGACACGGACTCTCCAATTTTCCTGCTAGAATTGCTTTTTTTCTTGTGCTGGCCACAGAAAACCCCCACAACTGGCCAGCACAAAAAAGGATGAACACTTAAAAAAAATAAACAATGGGAAGCATTATATGAACTTTTTGTTGGAAGAAGAAAAAAAGACTGAATTGATGATTTAGAGGTTTAGAGGTTTAAAAAGGTTGAAGGGAAAAAAATCAGATGGAATAACTCAAGAGAAAGAAGGGTGGAAGCCATAATTCTATGCTCTCTTCTGTTTTCTTTCTACGTTATTTCTTTTATATTCTTTTTTTCCCTTTCACTTTCAATACTTCTATTGTATTGGAAATTTTAATTGAAAAATATGGGGTGATAAACACCCCCCCCCCCACATGTCTAAGATCCACACAGTGGTAAGTAACTCTTTGGTACAAAGGCAGGATAAACAGAGGCCTAGTGTTCTCTCCTCAGCCTGCAGCTGAATTGGTCTCTAAGCAGCAGAGCAGTTGCTTCCTTTTTCTGTTTAGTGTCGGTTGAGAAGAGGTGGGAAGGAGAAAAGACCCTCCTGCATCCCGGGGAAAGAGAATGGAGGGCAGCCGCCCAGGTAAGGAGGAGATGGGTACAAAGATGGGGACCGTCAGAGGGAAGAATCCAGAGCCATCAGAGGGGAGGCAGCAGTGTCAGGTTATCTAGCAGAAGTAACCCCATTTTTAGAACAGAAGGAGTAGAAACCCCATTTGAACAAGATGGGAGGATGACACAGACTCTTTCCCCCCCTCCCCCATTTTTCTTCTTTATTGTAATATTGTAAATCATGATATCAGTTATTTTCAGAATATTTAGCAGAAGTAATGCGCATGGGTAGAACAGAAGGAGTGTTATGTTTGAGAGGGATAATAATATTGACTGTAACTGCGGTAACAAAGGTTGGAAGCCAATTATTTTTGCTTTTAAGTGTATTGCTTCCTATACTTTTTTCCCCTCTTCCTTTTCTCTTTTTTCTATTACTTATTTTTCTTTTACTCAAAGGAAATTTCTCAATAAAATATATATATATATTTATATATATATAAATATCCCGGAAAGAGCAGAAACCCCATTTCAGCAAGGTGGAAGGATCATGTACTGTAAATTTCTTTTCCCCCCCTCATTTTCACTCCTTTGTTGTAACATTATAAATCATGATGCATGGTACTATTTCAAGGGAGATATCGGTGCTGTAAGGTTTATATAATACGATTAAAACTTAGTAATGTTTTATTACTTATTTAATAAAAGTTTTTATTTTATTATTTAAAACAATAAATATTTACTTATTTTATTATTAACAAGCATAAAGTATTAAACATTTTTTTTTAAAAAGGATCCCAACTGATCCCTAGAGCCCAGCTTTATTAACAGAGTCTCACCACTTGGGGCATGTGGGACAGGGCCTCTAAAAACTAAGAGATTCTTCGTAACAATCATTAAACCTCCATCCCGAGTCTCTCCTGATGACACACTCCATCCTTTTTTATATTTTGGAATATCAAGACCTGGTTATCAGGCCTGGGACTCCCAGGTAACCAGAGACATGCTTAGAGGGCGCCATTATTTTTATTCCCAATGTGCCCATGGTTTGTATCTCTGTTTTTGTAATATTTAATGTGATTTTTATATTTTTAATATTTGTGTTTTTATATGTTTTACCTGATGTTTGTGGAGTTGCCTTTGGTGAGATGGGTGACAGTATAAATTTGATTAATAAATAGTATAAATCAATCAATCCATAAATAAATGGCTTTGGTTCAAAGGAAAGACATCATTTCCTAAACTTCAAAAAGTGGCATAGATGCCATGTTAAAATGCAAATATTTCCTTTATTAAAATGCTAATCATAAAGCATACAAATTCTCCATAACAATAAGAGAAAGAAGCAAGTACATCATATAGGAAGTAGATCACTTTTCCAAGTAAGGAGGTGCCAACTAGTAACCACAGGCTAAAAAGATAAAAGGTAATGAATACAGGGGGTATCTGGCAGTGTTTCTGCGCAACCATTGCCCAACCCTGCTTACTTGCTATGCTGGGGTCTTTTAATAAAGAAAAAATATGATTCTCCACAAAGGTCATTTAGCATTTTCTTTCCTGGCTTAGAGCCAAACACTGAAAAGGGTTTTTTTTTATTTCCTTCTAAGAGCAGCAAGGAGAAGGAGGGGCTCCTCACAAGATATGGTAAAATTTTGCAAAGTGGGGTTTCCACCCTAATCTCATCCATTTTATCACATTTCCCCCTCTTCTCAGCCAGCTTCCCTCCCCCCCTTTTTAAGCTTCCCTCCCTTTTTTTGCGGTTTACCGTTAGTGAGAAACATTTGGCAGATGAGCTGTGGTTTTTCTTTTTCCTCAGCTGCTCAATCCAAAAGGAAGGGAAATGAGGGTTAAATAAGGCAATGGAAGAAGTAGCTGCTAGATTGGTTCGTTTTTCTCTTGCCAGGTGCAAGTGTTTAGCTTTTGGGATTTAGAATTTCCTGCTGGATTTAAGTTGAGCCTTCCAAAATATTATGTACTAAAAGCAAGAAAAATAAGCATGATCCAGCATTATACTATGACAGGATGATGTATTTTTTGATAGGCTAGATTTATATCCTTAGGGATTCAAGGTGGAATATATAGTGCTCCCTCTTCTTCTATATCTGCACACACAAAAACAAACAGATTAGGCTGTGTTACCCAGTAAGCTTCTATGGCTGGGTATGCTTGAATTTGATGTCCCCTGCTCCTATCTTTTACCCTACACAGAAAAATTATGTACAACAAAGTTTGATTTTGCTTCCCTGAAGGAAATAAACTATGAATACTTGCTCTTTTGGAATGCTGTCTAAAGCTGGACTTTTAGTGGGAGGTCCCTGAGTTCATCATTGTTAGTAGATTTGTTTCCAAGTGGAGAAAAAAATGGTGTAGCCAAGGACTGGTCTTTCTGTCCACTTTTTAATCATGCGTGGCCAGAATGAAGTCTTAAAGCTGAAGGACCCTCAGTTTGGTCCTACTGGTTACAGTAGAGGAAAAAAATTTTAAGTCTCAATCCTGAACTGTAAAGGTCTTCTATTATAATGAAAGCCTATTCTACAAATCCTTTTCTACTCTTTAAATATTTATGCAATATTATATATTAATATTTAATAGAAACTACAGGATATTTCCTGACATATTTTATACTATTAATAATATTAATGTAAATATTATTCTAGTATTCTATCAATTCATCTCAGGAAGCCCTCAACTGATGGATATGTTGGAGGGAAGATACAATAATTTTCTATTCAACTGTATCCATATCTATAATAACAAAATCTTGCATAGCATTATACTTCCTCCCCCTTCCAGTGAATCAGGAAAGCATCTGCCTGAAATACTTCAGAATAGCAATAGCAATAGCACTTATATACTGCTTCACAGTACTTTGCAGCCCTCTCTAAGCAGTTTACAACATCAGGATATTGCCCCCAACAATCTGGATCCTCATTTTACTGACTTTGGAAGGATGGAAGGCTGAGTCAACCTTGAGCTGGTGAGAATCAAACTGCTGGCAGTCGGCAGAATTAATCTGCAATACTGCATTCTAACCACTGCACCACCATGGCTCTAAACTATTATTTTTTGAAAATTTCCCAGGTTTTAAAATATATTTCAACTCCTTTTGTCTAAGTACTGTAATAGTTCCTGCATATTTCCATCAAGCTCATCCTCCTTACTCTGTACATCAACTGCAAAGGACAGCCATATGAAAAAATCTGAAAATGAATTTGCCAAGAAGACAAATTTGCCGAGGAGATAAATTCCTTTTGTGTCCACTTATACTTAACCAATAAAGAACTATTCTATTCTATTCTGTTCTGTTCTGTTCATAAACTGCACCAGTTAATTGCTATTATCTTCTCTGTGTGGAAAGTATTATAATTTTGATTTTGTAACATATGCAGGAAGAACATTGCAATTTCCATTTTACTGGAGGACTCTTTCAGTTAAGAGAAAAAAATCTTCCATACAGGCAAAAGGTCTACATGCTGTTCAGATTTTGATATACTCCATCTGGTTTAATACATAATATTGTACATACTTGGGTGAATGATGATATATAGCTTATGTGGTTTATGACAACATTTAAACAATTATCTTTGTTCTTGTTCTTTGTCCAGATTCCTGGAACTTTTCATCAAAAATGGAAGAGATACTGTCTCTTGTGAAACAAATGCAAAACGGTATTTTGAAACTAGGGCCAACAGTGGGCGCTAGACATCTTAGTAAAATTTTGGAGTGTGCACATGACAGTAACGTGTACCTATCTATGGTTAAAATGGGTAGTCCTCTAGAAAATTGATGAGTTATTAAAATCTGGAGAATAACACATTGCTTACCATATAGAAAATAGATGGGAATTGAGACATTTGGAATTCTTTCCCTTCTTATTATGGAAAGAGTTGTTCTGACTAGAAGATAAAATTGGACAAAATCTAAAGGCTGAAATTTCTGAGATATATTTGCAGGAAATGAGTTTGCTAATTGTTGACTATAAACGAATTAAGTAAAGTAGCTCCAAATGTGTAAAGGTAGACTGCCACTTCTATTCATGTATACAGCATGTTGGAACATTACGCCTGTACTGTGGAAATAGTTGATTTAATGCCACCTGGGGGGCGAGGGAGGCACAACAAAATACCATATCACATAATCCATGGGACCTACAAAATGTAATCATTATGTATACAGTATTGCGATTGTAATATTGCTTTGGTGCCAAACAATGGCCAGATTCTGCGGCTCCTGGATCTATTCATTTGAGAGTGGTGTAGTGTGTATTTCATTTAAACAGAATTTTGCATGATGGGGGAAGGCCAGAAGTTCTTACTGGGTGCCAGAAGAAAAATATAAAGAAAAATATAATGGAAGAAGAGATGTTGATTTTAGGGGAAAGGTTTAAACATCCAGTTTACATTAAAAAAAAAGTTCCAACCAGGATAATATAAACTATCAATATAATTTGACAGTTATTTTAAATTATCCTATTTGCTTTCTGAAGCTGTCAGTTGCATTTGCAATGGAAGAAAAGATATGCAATAATACACAGGAAAGTGGTTATTATGAATTTATATAAAGTTTTAAGATACTAATATAATGAAGAATTCAGATTAAACTTTCTCTTTCTTTTTCCTTTCCTTCATAGTGGGAAATCTAGAGCCAAAAATAGAAGATCTAGTAAAAAGAATTAATAAATTGCAGCAAGGTAAGAGATTCAAATGGGACACAAAATAAAAGGCTGGTTTCTGTGGTTGGCTGGCAGAAGTCATGGATTACATTAATATACTTTGTTTGATAAACTTAGTTGGATGAACATAAACTGAGCAGTAGAAATGTTTTACCTCATTTGAAGAGATTATTCATTTGATTTAAATATGTTGTGATATTTTGAGAGACTTGGTAGTTCACAACAGTTCTAAAACAAAACATTTCTATGCTAAATATAAAATTAAAATAAAATCAAGATTACATAACATAATATCACAATTCACCCCCAAACCTTCTGGAATAAATCAGTTTTAACTAACGCCTGAAAAATTATTATCAATGCAATTAATCTCGCCTCCAGGGGGAGGCCTGGGACTGTTTTATAAATCTCCTGGCCTTGACTTCCCCCCTCCTATTTTATAAGATTGGAGGTCTTCTCTTTTTATTTAATGCTCTAATATTTTCTCATTGCATTTCAGTCTTTTTCTATCTGCAAACAGTGGTCTGTTAAAAATAAAAAGCAGAATAGCTCTACAATATCTTTAATTGTTATTATTAGGACTCCTCTATCTGGAAATTCTAGTAGCACAGCCTTACTAAAAATTGTTATTGCTGCACTTATTTTAGCTGAGTAATATTACAAAGGTTTAAGTGCATTTTATTTTATTTTATTTTATTTTACTTTATTTAGGAAATTTATATTGCCGCCTGTTCGCACATGGTGACTCAAGGCGGCGTACAGAATATTTTGACCATTATACTATAATATTACTCAGATGCAAAAGGTCCTTGTCATGAGCTTCCCACTTATGTATTATCTCAATTTGTTATATGCATTTTTCTTCAGCCAAGAAGATATTAAATGAAGAGATCTTTGAGGCAAATGAACATAGTAAGACACTTCAGATAGAACTGGAAAAGTGTAGGTATCTGTTCTGTCATAGTTCAGATTGAAGCCAATTAATCAAATGCCACTAATATCTCCCTCCACAGCCAGTTTTTTTTTTTTTTAAATATATGAACTTCAGAATGCAATCCGCTTTGAATAATGCTTAGTTTTAAATAGACATGTTTAAAACTGTATTATTATAATGGTCGCCTAGTAATATTAAAGCAGGGTTTTAAACCATATTATGCTGAATAAGTCATAATGGCTGGTTACTACATAATCTTAATCATAATGGATGGGTTCATATATATTGAACAATAATGGGTGGACATCACTAAGCAAGCAGCCACATTATGCTATGTTGCTATGTATGATTTACAGTGCTGTTGATCTGCAGGTACAGGCCTGTTAATTTAACTATTTTAACAATAGCCAATATATTACATAAGATGTACCAGTATATGGGAATGACTGAGAAACAGAAGGGAGAACCATAAACTGGACAACCAGCATATAAAAGCATGAAAGATCAATGCAATAAGATTATTTTGAATTGTTTTTCTGTTCATGCTTGTAGACAGAAGGCACTTTAGCTGTAGGAAATGTATAGGACCTGGGAACAGAGGGTAGATTTTTATAATTCAGTTTTAGAAAAATAAGCACCAACATCTGAGGTTTCTTCCATTTGTATTTTCTGCAATATGATAAAAATAATGCCTAAATGACATAACTCCTTCTCTTGTAGTGAATGCTGAAAAGTCAAGCCTTGAAGAAATATGGAATGAGAAAAAGGGTAATGGAAAATTCTAAGATACTGGCTTGATTTTTTTTAACATTATCAGTTTTAGCAGTTTGTCCACAATATATTCCTTAAAATTTCACATTTGTTGCAAGGACAATTCACTATTAATATGATTATGATATGAAATACAGTTTCAAGAGATACATTGCAGTATGAAATGCATTTTAAGTGATACTTTATGTTTTGGCATTATTGTAAAATTAATTTAATTAATATTAATTTAATTAAGATTTATCTTCCAATGCTCATGCCATTTTGTATAGGTTTCTATTGTTAATGTTAGGGAAAAAAATCTAAGTTTTGTGTTAATAGTTTCTTATTGTTGCTGTTACGATATATGTTTATATTCCATCCTTCAATGCATATGTTTCCAGGATGGTTTACAGAACTGCAACAGAAACAGAGAAAAAAAAATAATCAAATTAATTTGAGACAATGGCAGTACTAAAGCTCCGCATTGCCCTTTTAAAAAAAAAAAGCTACAAAAATCAGCATTTCTCCTCCCAGCTTTACTTATTCCCATTTATTACATGAAGATGACATATTTCATAGGCAGTGAGTCAGAGGTGATATTCAGAAGGTTTTGACCAGTTCTGGAGAACTGGTAGTGGAAATTTTGAGTAGTTTGGAGAACTGGTAAATACCACCTCTGACTGGCCTTGCCCCCATCTATTCTCTGCCTCCTGAGTCCCAGCTGATCGGGAAGAAATGGGGATTTTGCAGTAAACCCCTAGAGTGGGGAGGGAATGGAGATTTTACAGTATCCTTCCCCTGGAGTGGGGTGGGAATGGAGATTTTACAGTATCCTTCCCCTGCCACCCCCACCAAGCCATGCCCACCAAGCCATGCCATACCCACCAAGCCATGCCTACAGAACTGGTAGTAAAAAAAATTTGAATCCCACCACTGCAGTGAGTTAAGGCAAGGTGAGGACTTGTGGCCACAGGCTATATACAGCACAAGTTGGCTTTTATAGTTCTCTGAGCCATCCCTGACAAAAGGCAACAATTCTCCAAATTTTGAGAAGAGAAGCAGATGAAAACTCATATCATAGTTTAAAACCACCCCTAACTCCCCTCAAAGTCCTATTACTTATTCACATCAAAATACGTTGAGTACCAAATTTGATAATTTCAAAGCAATTGAGTACCAAGATACCATTGTAAGTATAACTAAAAAACCAACACTTAAAAGTCGTGGGTGGTACAGAGAGAAAAGTATCTCTACGTACTTTCTCCACCTGGTAATTTAAATAATTTCTGTACTTGACAATATTGCCCATTTTATTTTTTTATTTCCCTCTTGAAGTTTCATAAGATGGAATTAAACTTTTTTCATGGAAAGTACAAACTGGACCAAAATTTCAGCAAGCTGATCATCACAAGCCCAACGTCCTTTCCTGATTAGTTTTTTTTCTTTAAGTAATTTTCTGTTTACCTGTGCTTAATACAGAGTTACTTCTTGCTTTATCTAATGAAAGTTGTGGCATTGTGTAATTTCATGTGTTTTGTTCCTTGAAAGTAGTGGCATTACTTCAGTTTTAGAGAACATACATTACATAAAATCATGGCAGAAATATTATGCAGAAAGAAAATAACCTGAGCTGCTGAGAGTTAATATTTACCTTTCTTGCAGAGATCAAAAAAGTCATGCAGATGCATTCAAAGGAGACACAAGCTGAAATGCAGAGGTGAGCTAGGGCTTCCGATCCACCTGCTTTGTGGACTTAGCTATTGAAAAGTACTGAGCAATATTCTAGACTACAGAAAGAAACACAACAAATTACTCCAAGAAAATATATATATCAAAAATGCTATCAGTATATATATATTTTATGGTGATTGTATTTTATCATGATTATCACTTGTTGCTTGTATGTATACTGAGAGCTTATGCACCAGAGACAAATCCCTTGTGTGTCCAATCACACTTGGCCAATAAAGAATATTCTGCTCTGTTCTGTTCTGTTCCATTATTCTATTCCAGGGGTGTCAAATTTGATTTCATTGAGGGCCGCATCAAGGTTGTATTTGACCTCAGGGGGGCCAGGGTGGGGCACGCGGCCCTCCAGAGCTCTGTTTTTGCTGGCAGAGGCACCATGGGCCAGTCCTTTGCAGGTCAGATGCAGCCCGCGGCCTTGAGTTTGACATCCCTGTTCTATTCTATTCTGCTCTGTTCCATTCCATTCTACTATATCTTAATGCATATGTTTTCACTAAAATGATTATACTGGAATACATGGTCCAAGGGCAAAGTGATTATCATAACAAAATTAAGAATTAGCCCATTCTATATCTTGGCTTCTTCTCATTTACCAGGGAGCAGAAACTGAACCTTGCCTGCAAGCAACAAATTGAAGAAATCACAGCCAAGATTCAGATGGAAAAACTGAAGCAGAGGGAGCAGAGGTTGGTTCCTTGCAATTTTGCTATAAATGTATGTGTGCTAGCATCTTCTGATTTCATTTAATTCATGTATTATCGAAAAAGTTACTGCATTTACATTTATCAGATCACATTTCAGACTGCCTTCATTCCTTTAGCAAATTATTTTCTGAAAAGAATAAAGCTGCATTAATTGAAAGAATAAATAATACAGTAATGGAACTCAAGAAATCTCTGATTTCGTCACAACATTCAGGTCATTCAATAAAATTGTTTGCAGGTAAGTTTAATACTAACAAAAATACCATTTTACTTAACATCTTTAGTATATGGAATTCCTTACTAGAAAAGTAAGTCTTTTGACTTAAATAGCTATAAAATAGTTTAGACAGACAGAATAGTCTGTATGCCTTAGCCACAATGGAAAACTTTATGCCATGTCAATATTCTGAAGTCCTGCACTTACTGTATTTACAAGGTGCAGAAAACAAATATGCAGTTACTATTCCATTATTTTCTTCCTTTGGAATATGAATAGCGATTGTATAACTGAATGAATACAATGAATACTGAACGTGGAACAAGATGAATCCATAGCAGTGTTTCAAGTATATCTGTATAACAATGGTGTTACATGAACAAGTAGACGGTATTTTTTAGAAACTCTTGCAGGAATGCTGTGGGCGTGTGTATCTCATGCATCCTCTCTAAAATCAAGCTAGTCTTGCACATGTTGAACTGCACAAATCATTTTCAACTATTCAACATGGATCAGCACTTTGGTGACTGAATCAGGAAAATAACAATGCCCTGCCTTGAAAATGATATGCCCAGCCCTCCTGCACAATGGCTGCAATTCCATTAAGTTAAGTAACATCACAGCAGGCAGAGATGACTAAGGAATGCTATCAGACCCAGAATACAAACGGACCCAGTGCTAGTCAAAGTAGCAATAGGAATAGCACTTAGATATATATATCACTTTATAGTGCTTTACAGCCGTCTCTAAGTGGTTTACAGAGTCAGCATATTGCCCCCAACAATTTGGGTCCTCATTTTACCCACCTTGGAAAGATGGAAGGCTTGAGCCTGGTGAGATTTGAACTGCCAAATTGCAGGCAGCTGGCAGTCAGCAGAAGTAGGCTGCAGTTCTGCACTCTAACCACTGTGCCACCATGGCTCCTAACATGGCTGATTCTTTTATTTGCAGCTTCTTGGCTTACCGCACAATTATGGTAATAGGCATGGCCACACCAAGCACCCACTCCATAGCAATGCCCTTTAAGACTGGCATCTGCTTCACCTTTTCTAACATACTGTATATAGGTTAAGTGGCTCAGTACTTCCAAAGTTGAGGCCCAGGATCTGCATTTGAGACAACGCCTCCCCTTAACCACCCCTGCAAGAAAGCCCTTTTAAGGGCTTGATGTGCTAGATTCTGTTGCAGTTGACATTCCCTAGAAGTGCAGCAAGGAGTTGAAATTATTTTCAATGCAATAGTTTATTCTGTCTTGTTCCTGCCTTGTGTTTATTTTTTTTTCTACTTTCAGATTCGCATTTGAGCAGTTACTTGATGAGTTGACGGAGAAGCACAAGAATCTCTGGGAACTTTATGTAAGAGCCTGTTTTTCTTCCCTGTAGCATAAATTATACTCTACAGTACTCATTAATATTGTAATAAATGTAGGCAGCAAAACTGTGAGTTAAAGATCTTGAATTTCAATTGCCTTTGGGAATACTGACATCAAACTATCTAAAAAACATTTGGCACTGTCCACAAAGAGATATTTCACAGTTTCATGCTGAGGTCTGAAAATGCAATAGAAAGAGTGGATATTGCTGTATACAGGCGTGGGAAAATCCTCCCAGGAGAAACAGCTACTGCATTGGAGAAATACTGTCAAAGGTCTGTGGGTGTATTAGGAACAGGGAGGTACATATTATTTGCTTACAGACTGACTGCTGTTGTCTAGATTCTTGGGTGTTCTAATGAGCCAAACCTGTGCTTTTCTCAGTTTACCTTCCTATTTTAACTCCTTGGAGCACAGCCATGTAAATGAGATTAAAATGAAATGCCAGGTGGAAAAGGGCTAGGCAACTGCCATGTTGAAAACAATAAAAAGCCAGTGATATATAGAGAGAACTTTCTCCACAATAATTGTTATGTCCAGGGCATCAGTAGCAAGACTGCCTGCTATGCACCAAGGAAACTGTTATGTAGCTCTTATTTACCCAAAATGGCAAGAACACAATGATCTATACAATTTAGGAGTACAAGTAGTTCTAGACTTACAACAATTAGTTTAATGACCATTCAAAGTTACAATGGCATTGAAAAGAGTGACTTAATGACCGTTTTTCAAACTTACAACCGTTGCAGCATCCCCATGGTCACATGATCAAAATTCGGATGCTTGGCAACTGACATATACTTATGAGGATTACAATGTCCCATAGTCACGTGTTCGCCTTTTGCAACTTTCTGACAAGAAAAGTCAATGGGGAAGCCAGATTCACTTAACAACCCTGTTACTAATTTAACAACTGCAGCGATTCACTTAACAACTGTGGCAAGAAAAGTCATAAAATGGGACAAAACCCATTTAACAAATGAGCAACATAAATTTTGGACTCAATTGTATATCAGGGACTACTTGTAGATGTATGTTACCCCATAGTTGCCGGATTGCATGCCATCATGGCTCCTGTGTGAATGTATGATCACTGCTGGACAGATGAAGGCACGTGGGTGTTGCTGAATGGTATACATGCATTTACTCTATTTATACAGTGTGGCTAGTTCAAGCACTCTTGATAGGTTTTTCATTTACACACTGGAATTGTTTTATTGAGTGGAATGGGCAACCCAAGCTAATATATATAGGTTTTAATGTATTTGTGGTCCTCATGTCCCACTAAGACTGCTTTGCTTGAATTCAACAGTAGCTGAATTAGCAACATTCCTCCTCGTGTTTAGTGGGAAAAGAATAGTACATAAATTGACAATAGGCTTAATCATCAATAACATGTTTTTTAAAATCTCAAGAGAAAAAGTTCCAAATGCAATCTTTCTTTCTAGTGATATATTGTTATCCCTTTGCTGCTCATTAGTAGACAAAATATTTATAAAAGTATAGATTGGTCACAAAAAGATTGCCAGTCTCTCAAACCAGCTAACACTTAAACAGATGGGATTGTTAATATTAAAATGCATATAATTAATGTAAAAATTATTCTTATTTGTATAATCTGTTACTGTGATATTTTTCTGATTTTACATTCTACCTTTCCTACTCCTCCCTCATGTTAATATTTGCTTGATGAGTATAACTGGAGGCTATTTATGTGTTTAAATATACTAATTTATTTAATAAATATATAATTAACTCTTTATTTTCTTATCTCTCTGATTTTAATTGGGAAAATACCGGTAGCACTAGCAGAAAGGTTGACTTCTTCCTGATGCTACAGCATCTGTCTATTAGTTTTTGTTTTTGCTGACCACATTATATAGACATTTACATTATTTACTTTGTTTAAATTTGGGAGACTTTGTTTAAAGTTAGGAGAATATTTTTATTGATTTTCTTCCTCATATCTAAAGCATATTTTTTGTTGTTGTCTTGTTTCTTTTCATCATATCATTTTCCACTTTTCAGGCCAGGGAGAGACCAATGGCTGACATGAAAAAGAGTAAGGAGCAGTTACTACTTGAAGGTGAGAAAGAAAATGCACTATTTGGGGTATTTAGGTAATTGAGATTACCCAATCTAAAATAATTCCAATTAATTTCTAATGTACTTTGAAAGTACCTTCAGTTTTCAAGGCAGGTAAGAATTCTTAAATGTGATGTGCCATAGAGGATTTATATGTTGTAATATTCCATTAGAAAAACTAATCCAAGAGAAACTGGCTCATGTTCAAGATGAACTGGATTTGCTGAGCCAGGTTACATTGAGTGAAGAGAGGAAGTTTCTGAAAAGCCAGGCAGCTGCATCTACTTTGTGAGTATATTTCCGTTCTCTTTTGGGATAATAATATTTAGAACTCAGGTAAGAAAGTTTGTTCCTTCCCAAGAATATCCAAGACATTACCATTTAAGATTTAAAATGAACTACAATAGCAAGTAAAAGTGCTGTTTGTACCAATAAGTAATTAATTGCCCTTCTTTGAGGGGGATGGGCCATTCAGAAGTATGAGATATAAATAAAATGAATAAATAAGTAACATTAATTATACATGCTTTAAGCAAAATTACACGAGACTATTAAAAACTCTGGTGTGCCTCATTATATTTTTTTGTAATTTTGGACTGTTGGAATAAAAATACATGTGCCAAATAATTTCTCACCACAAAAGCAACTAATAGCTTGATAGATTTGACATATAAGAACTCTTATTCATATCTTTTTCATTTCCAGGGAGTTATTTCAAGAGGAAAACAAAAAAGCAAAAGGTTATCTTGAAGCAGCCTCAAAGTACAATTCTGATTTGCAGGAGAAATGCAACAAGTGAGCAGAAAAGTGGGAATAAGAAAACATATAATTAATCTTCTGCAGATTCATTTCTGAAAGATGAGAATGTCTAGGCAAGAGAGTAATTATCCTTGGACTATGGTGCATTATCTATTTGAAGCAGATTCAAAATGTGAATTTTATGTATCATTAAACATTTTAAATCTATTAGGATACAATAAGCAAAAGTCAATATTTAATTTCAATCAATCAGAATAGAGCTGGAAGGGACCTTGGAGTTCTTCTAGTCCAACCCCCTGCTCAAACAGGAGACCCTATACCAGTGGTGGGTTGCCCCCGGTTCGGACCGGTTCTATAGAACCGGTAGCAAAACTGGCGGAAGGCTTCGCCCACTGACCCTGACATCATCAGAAGCGATCTGCGCATGTGCAGAAGCAAGGCATACAAACTGGTAGTAAAGGTAGGTAGAACCCACCCCTGCTCTATACCCTTTCAGACAAATGACTGTCCAGTCTCTTCTTAAAAACCTCCAGTGATGAAGCACTCACAATTTCTGAAGGCAAGCTCTTCTATTGGTTGTTATCACAGTTAGGAATTTTTCTTTAGTTCCAGGTTGCTTCTCTTCTTGATCAGTTTCCATCCAGTTTCTTATCCTGCCTATAAGTGCTTTGGTAAAGAAGTTGACCCCCTTTTCTTTATGGCAACCTCTCAAATACTGGAATACTATGTCACCCCTAGTCCTTTTTTTTTTTCTAGACTAGCCAAACCCAAATCCTGCAACCATTCTTCATATTTTAGTCTCCAGGTCTTTAATCATCTTAGTTGCTCTTTTCTGCACTTTTCCCAAAATCTCAATATCTTTTTTTGTAGTGTGGTGACCAAAACTGGATGCAGTATTCCAGATGTGGCTTTACTAAGGCTTTATAAAGTGGTACTAATACTTCACATGATTTGGATTCTATGCCTCTGTTTATACAACCAGAATTGTTTTAGCTTTTTTGGCTGCTGTCACACACTATTGATTCATATTAAAGTGATCGTCCACCAGGACTCCAAGATCCCTCTCAAAGTTATTGTTGTTAGCTGTTATTAGCCAAAAAAGGTTAATACAATCCTTGGTTGTATAAACAGAGGCATAGAATCAAGATAACGTGAAATATTGGTACCACTTTATAAAGCCTTGGTAAAGCCACACCTGGAATACCGCATCCAGTTTTGGTCACCAGAAACAATATATTATTGAAACATTCTAAAACAAAGATAACTACCTTTACCATCTACCAGAATTCTTACTCCTGCAAGATTTATTTAAAATTATAAAAACTTTGTTAAAAATGGAAATATGGTTATTAGTTTTCTGCCTCATTTTGTTTCCTTTATATTTACTTCTACTTTGATCCTGTTTACATTGTTCAAGTATTTAATTTACTTCAGGTTAAGAATAGAGCTGGAGGTCTTCGGGATGGAGGATGACAGCATTAATGAAGACTAGCTTGTAGTCCACCATACTGCTGTACAGGAAGAAATGTAAATACTTTTAATGCATTCTTTAAAGCTGTCATTTAACAGTTACAGTCTATAAGCAGGATGGAAGCAGCCACTTATCTGGTATTCTAAAATTAGAGAGCGGATTAATTCAATAAGACTTTTAAGCAAAATTAGAATGAACTCTTTATCACAAAATTTCTAGGCTGCAACCTAAGTGTCTTTGCTTTCTACTTAAAGATGTTAAGGGAGGCAGCTCTCCTGCATTCAAGGACAATATTGAAAAATTTGGGATATTATGCTACACTAGATATGAGTTCATGGGCACAAAATGAAACATTAGTTTCTTAAAGTTTCAATAATTAGTTCCTATTCACTCACTTTGATGTATCATTCCTCAAGTAGAGCCTACCCTCTGGAATGAGGTTCCATTGAGATCTGGATGGTCCCTATCCTGCAGATGTTTTGATAAACACTGAAGATTTGGTTCTTTGCCAAGGCTTTTGGCCAGGCTGATTGAAGCCCATTTAGGTTGTGTGGACGGGGGATTTTGTTGTTGTTGTTTCTGTTTTCATCACTTTTACTATCTTTTACTTCTTTATTGTTATTAAAAAAAAAATCCTTGTTTCACTTTTTACTTGTGAACTGACCAGAGTTGCTGGGAGGTGAGCAATATATAAAGTTCATAAAACAAATAAATCAGTAAATACAGTCAAAGCCTCAATAAAACATTGAAATGCTGCAGCTCTGAGGAGATAGCTGACAGTCTTTCTCAGTTGGCAGGAACTTTGGCTTTCCTTTACCTCTTGGTTTCTTGAGTTTGCCATTTTTAGTGGATCTTTCAAAGGAAAGACACTCTGGCTTTGCAGCTTCCTCTCAGAGGAAGCACTTGGATTTGCCCATGGCAAAAGTGTAACGTAAAATAATTTATGTGAAAGCAATTTATTTTATTGACCCACTGTGAAGCTGGCAGAAGAGCAGTCCATATCTTCAAACTGCTTCTGAGGAAATGGTAGTATGGCAGTGTTTTTAGGCCTATCTTGATTTAATGGACACTAAAGTTCATTTTCCCTCGTTCCATACAAGGATCGAGGAAAGATTAAGAGATTATAGAGATAATTTCCTAATTTTACATCTCTCTCTATTCCCATCCCCACGATAGGTTTGTGTGTACAGCAGGAGCTTTGCTTTAGCACTGAGAGAAATCATCTCCGTGGAACATTGGATGTCTTGCTTCACACTTAAATTTGTGGCAAACCATTTGCTGTTAATAAATTTCTGTTACTTCTGCTGTCATAAAAATGGTCCAATGGAATTTTTTATTTATTTCTTGATGTTTATTGATGCATACTATCTCTAGATCAATGTTTCTCAACCTTGGCAACTGTATGATTTGTGGACTAACATACTGGCTGGAGAATTCTGGGAATTAAAGATTGCCAATATCTTAAAGTTGCCAAGGTTGAGAAATACTGATTTGGATATTAGCACTTCACAAATTATTGGAAACAGATTGTTCACAAAGTGCATTAGCAATAAATGAAATATCTGTCATAAAAGTTTTAGCATAGTGTTCTTTTCAAAGTTTGCGCACCTATTTCAAAAACTGCTTCTAATATCCAAAGAAACAGCTACAGTTGTTCCAAACAGATATCCTCATTTGCACAAATGTACTTTACAGTGCAAATTAGCTCTTTTGAATACTTTACATAGCCTTTCCATAAAAAAATAAAAATAATCATTTGGTGTTAATATGGAATTTTACTAGTATTTCTGTTGCCTATATGTACTGTATATACAGCAAACTTTTCCCAAACAAGTATCTTCTTGATGCAATGTGATTTGGTTATTATGGCAGGAATTATGAAAATTAGCACTCTATCCCTTAAGAATTAAGAATGCATTCTTTTGAATTACTGTTATCAATTAAACAATTTAAATAATTTTTAAAGTGCTAGCACAATCAACTTCTCTTAAAGAAAAAAAATTAGAAGATACATTCAAATTGTAACTGCATTAACTTGCTGCAAGGACAAAATTTTCATGTATTTTTTGGTTAAAATTTAATTTAAAACAAAATCCATGTATTATTACTAAAAATTATTCACATAAAAATGACCCCCAAATGTAAAAACACAACTGTAAAGTGGATGGACTAAGTGACAATGGCAATGAGTGTTGGGAGATTTGCAAGAACAAGTTGAAGATAAGAGCATCAGGAAGAAAATCTAAATGGTCGCTAGGCATTGAAAACAACCTGATAGATAATCAATCAAAATGTGAAAACAACTATACTGTAATTGAAATCCAGGTTTCAAAATCTCAGAATCTTGCATTACAGATTCCACAAACTAAATGGGTAGGAAGAATGTAATCCTTCCATGGCATGACCTATTGACATGTACAGTTATATACAGAGTTTGCCATAATCTGAGATTCCGGTTTGTGTAAGATTTTTTTTTTTTAATGTGAGTGCTTCAACTGCTTAAGGTCAAGTCCAGCAGTGAAAAATAATTCAATCCAGTGTTGTGTTGCCAATTTGTTAACAAATAACTTTTAGTCACCGAAGCAGAGAGAGAGGTATGAGAAAAGTTTTTATTGCTGGTCCAGCAAGATAAAGACATTATTTGCTTTTTCTTTCTTGCTGTTTATCTGAAGCTAAGTAAGTAAAAGTATTACTCTATAGTCTTGTTCTGCAAATAATATGTTACATCCTTTTGTTCTATGGTAGCAACAATTCTGAGGTACTTAGGGCTATCAGGCCCGATCAATATATCAAAATGTAGTTATTTTTCTGATTTAATAGCCAACAATTCTGCTCAAAATCCAAGGCTGTTGATAATTACCATACACCCAATTTTAATGAGAAATAATAGAAAAATTAAATCACATCAGCCTTTAAATGTACCATACTGGCTATATTGGTCACATCCCAACTCAACCATTTACTGACTATGAAAGGGTACTAAGGTAAATAAGTCTGAACAAATATATTTTAATTTCATTAGAAAAAAAAGAAAATACAAACAAACTGAAAGATAGCTGTTATAATTTCAGATATCTTGATATAATACCTGCAAAAAACTTGAAGTAATTTAGAAAAAAGAATGTTGATCACATGGTTAGGAAATTAAAATGAGAGCGAGGGGTCCTTGGTGCATTCAGAGCTTGGTGGTTTTCTTGCAGATGTTTCATTACCCAAACTAGGTAAGATCATTAATACTAGTAGGGAGTGGAGTTGGGTCTCTTTTTATTTTCTAGTGGCTTATCCTGTTAGTGTTGGTGGGAGTGGTTTCAAGTGGAATCAATAGCACTCTCACACATATACAACCCCAAATACGGATCAGGTTTAGTATAACAGAAAAGGATCAGCTAGAGAAGACCTACAAAACCATTCACAACATCTTCAAAGGGGTCCAGTTCACAAGGGAAAAAGAAAAGAACACACTACCTTTCCTGGATATCCTTATCAGTAGAGACTGCTGTGGCAAACTAGAAACACAAGTCTACAGAAAAACTAACCACACCAACCAAGTACATCACTACCAAAGTAACAACTCAACCTCTCATGTCATGTAAGATCACTATTCAGATGAGCACAAACACACTCAGCGACCCTGAACATCAGAAAAAGGAAACAGATAATCTATACAACACCTTGAATCAAAATGCAACCTCATCAAAAAGTGCTTGGCCACTCAATCCAATATAGCAATACAACCAAACACAAGCTATAAGGATAACACTGCTACACATCACAAACATTCAGAAACCACCAATAAACTATTAAAACTAGATGGTATCAGCATAGCACACAAACCAACTAAAGCTCTCCAAAATATCTTAAGTAGACCTAAAAACCCAGCAAGTGGGGGGAGGGGGAGAGATGGACTGGGGATGGACGGACCCAGGAATCATTTACAATATACACTGTAAAGACTGCAACAACCACCATGTAGGACAAACAGAAGACTAGTCCAGGGGTGGGCAACTGTGGCCCTTTTACAACCTGTGGACTTCAACTCCCAGAATTCCTGAGGCAGCCAAGCTGGCTCAGGAATTCTGGGAGTTGAAGTCCACAGGTCATAAAGGGACCATATTTGCCCACCCCTGGACTAGCATAACATATCCATGAACACCACCTAGCAGTCAGAAGACATGATGAAAACTCTAATTTCACAACACCTGAACAGACAGCTGTAGTAATCAGCACCCAGATGAGCATAGATTAACACCAAGATTAACACCAGATCAACAATCAAGAAGTAAACAATACCCCAATCAAGGAACTGCCAAACAAGCTAACAGTAAACAGCCCAGATAACCACCAAGGCCACTCCCACCAACACTGATAGGACAAGTCACTAGAATATAAAGAGACAGCAATCCCACTCCTTAGTAATCCCACTCCTTAGTAGCACTGATGATGTTGCCTAATTTGGGTAATGAAACGTCTGCAAGAAAACAATCAAATTCTGAGAGAACAGAGAACCCATCATTTCAACCTTGAGCTGCAAATATGCTCCTCTATTGGTAAAATGAGAATTTAAGGTACAACATATTTACAATTTACATGACTAGAATTTTGCCATAGCTAAAATTATTTCTCACCCAGGGTACCCATTTTTATTTCAGCAGTAGTCACTATTCCCAGATTTGATCAAATGGGATATGCTGTTTGATATTTTCATTCAATGGGATAAGGTTGCTTATAGCACAAATTATTGTACCAGCAACAAATGAAAAGGCGACTGCTTTCCAAATGTTAGCATATATTATGATGAATGTTATATCAGACATACTTTGTTAGTCGCTTTTTTATATATATAATAAGAATTATCACCTGTTTCTTGAATCTAAAAAAAACTTATTTAGTTGAGTCTGGAGAGAGACTCCTCCTAACCCTGGTCCTCCAGATGTTTTGCTAAAATCCTCACCATCCTGAGCTAGCACGGGATTGCCTCGACCATTATGAACTGAGAGTCGTAGCACAGCGTAACAATAATGGCCGTGGGCGACAGAAAATGTGGCTGTACCCCACTTAAGACAGTCCCAAGGTTGGGTAAGGCTACGCTTGGTGTATAAAGTCTGACTGCTTTGCTTCTGTCCCAAGCTCCGAGGAAACAGATGAATTGAGCTCTTACTCTGCGAGCTATTATCCAAGGGGTGGTTAAGCACGGTCACTTCGCTTTTCTCTCCTACAGAGGGCGCTAATCACTCTGTTGGGAATAATTCTGAAACCCGTGCAGTCCCGTCGGAAATGGCTGCGAGAACCGGCCATCTTTGTAAAGGGCAGAAGAGATCGAGCGACCCGGATGTTATTTCTCTCTTTGAGCGAAGGGTAGCGGAAACGGATAGGAGCAGGCCATTTGCCTTCCTGTCTCCTGGCCCCCTTGTCTTGATTCAGAAGAAAGGAGCTGGGCGAGCGGAGAGATCATGGTGAGCGGACAAATCGCTACGGCTGCCTTTGGGTCGCTGGCTCGCATCAGAGCAGGGCCGTTGGACGGCAAGGATGTGGGCGGAAGGGCAAGCGGGATGCCGGCCGTGGAAGAGGAACGGCAGGTTGGGGGGAAGAAGCAGAGTCTTCCGGAATCTCTTCCGAGTTTTTTTTCCCCATTAGTGGGTCCGCTCAGTGGGTTGACCAACGGTGGAAACTGGGCTCTTCTAAAAAGTTTTGCAAAGAAAATGGGGCTTATCGGATCTGTAGGATGAGACGATTTGTCCGTTGAGCCAGACTGGCTTCTTTTGTAATCAAGCCAATTTTAAAAGCTGGATAAAGAAGGATTTTTCAAACCTTTTTTTTTTTTTTTTGCAGCCCCTTTTGGCTCAACACAATTGGGCTTCTTTGAAATTAAACCCATTTTATCGCCTTCTGGGATAAAGATCTCATGATCTCCATTTATCCCTAGAAAACGTATTTTATGATTTTTCCATTGCTCGATTCAGATATTTGAAATGGTGCAATTTAAAGATCAGAAGTGCCTGCTGTTAGCTTCTTATAAGTGGCCATGTCGTCATTGTTAATTCTTTCTATTTTTTTCCTGGAATTCAGGATGAATTTTCGGATCCTGATTTGGCAGTTATGGGTGAAGAATCAAAATCTGAGAATGGAGAGAATGCTCCTGTCTATTGCATCTGTCGCAAACCGGATATCAATTGTTTCATGATGTGAGTATTGCTGGAAGGAATAAAAGAACTTGGTAATGGGGGCTACTTCACACGTTATGAGGTTGTATTGAGGATGGCAGCCAGTGCAAAACACTTATGACAGTATGATATGTGCTGGTTTATCTCAGCAAGGT